CCCAATCTATCGATGCCCATTCTACTAGCCGCATATTCATTATATATTTCATCAACAACCTGCACTTCGCCGTAATGGTTCCCAGCTCCCAGAGTTCCTAGCTATAAAGTGAAATTACTGAAACTTTCCGGTTCAAATATCGCTTTTTACAGCTGAAAATTTGAATAGAAATAAATTTCTTAGCAGTTTGAAACCAACAACAAATATTTTCACTGGCTATATATTAATAAACCTGTGGAAGTCCTCTTTTTTTCGCACGGGGAGAAACTTTGGCCGCATCAGCCTGAAGCATCCGCCCATATTCTTCACAATGTTCTTTATCTTCTGCCCATGAATAACCTTCACGCAGAGTCCAATCCATACCCATTTCCAAGCATTCCTGAATTGAAAAATTTTTTCTGAGATGAAAGCAAACGAACGTACATTTTAAAGGAAACAGTTGCATTTCAATATACCTCAAATTGCTGAGCTCCTATCGGAATTATACCCTTTGAACCAACACCCACCGGAATATGATCAAATAACGATTGGGCAAGTTGTTCTTTTACTGGCTGAACATCTTTCTCAGACAAGTTTGTTCGAATTAATCGGACACCACAATTAATATCAAAACCAACGCCACCTAAAAAAAATAGTTCTATTCAGTCAATTTACATTTCACGAGTTTTTTAATTAATAACTAATTTATTACATGTTCATTGTTCTTTTTTTCTGAAATACTCAATTTCCTCAATTTCTTTTAAACATCTTTTATCTTTGTAAATTACAAGTAATGTGTAAACTATGGACAGGTTTTACTGCCAAAATTCAAAAATCATTTCTCTTTTATAATTACATGATTCCAATCCAGATGATATCATTCGATAGAGCGTCTCGCAGCTTAATAGAAACTAAAGTATATAGAAAGTGCTTAAAAAATTAAATTTGATTGAGTAACTTGACTGCGCCTAATGAAAACAAATTAGGACAGGAGGTATAATTCAACGCATTTTACTTAAGAATTGCAAGATAAAAGCAGAAAGTTGTTCCATGCATCTTTTGTTCATCAGATCCCTACGGTGATAAATTAAGAACAAAGTGAAAAACAAAAAGTGATGAAAAGCGCTAACAGTAATGACATCGAAATAGCAATGATAAAGAATAAATGACAGGACCTAACTCACAGCATAAGAAAAAACTCAAGATTCGTAATTTAAAATTGATTAAGCAGCTTGAATTCTTGAACAATTCAAAAATTTGCAAAAACAAAAAACCAGGTGATACGACAGCTTCTGGATTAGAAACATCGAATGCAGCAATATTCCCTATAGCAAAGCCATAACCGGAATGTATATCCGGCAAGCCAATAGAAGCCTGAAATATGATGACTGCATAAATTTTATTCAATAAAAATTAAAACAGTTTTATTGTGGAAATGAATTTAGAAGACGGTGAATACAACTATATTCATATTTTCGCTTACGTTAACAATAGCTGGCAGTGCGGCGACATTTCCAATTTGGCGTACCGCAGGTAAGAATCCACCGATACCATTTGACCTACATGCATTCTTCAATTCATCAAACATCAATTTTTCCAAAGCTTTATTAACGTAAAAGCATCCTTCAACCTGTAAAAAATCGCTAAACTGGTAATTCGTAATCTTGCTGACTTTGAACTAAGAATGCAAAATAAAACAGATACTCCGAACTTTCAAAAATCAAAAGAATCTCCAGACAATATGAAATTGAGATTAATGGATTTATTGCTTAATAGCAAATGATCTAATAAAGTACACAACATATCAATATCCTAAGCCGAGAATGTATATAACCTTATGAACTCACGTTCATATTTGGAACGAATCCTTTTTTGATTCTATACATAACATCTGTAACACGTTCAATATAGCTGCATTCCTCATCATACGTACGTGGCATTCCTGAATTATTTTCTTACACTTCATTTAATTCTATTTTTTCATTGTAACAATAAAAATTCTACATAAATAAGTTGACAACAATTCATTTTAGTTCGGACTCAATTCCACGTCTAATTTGGATCACATATGAAGCAGATTAATAATCCATTGCCTGAACGATGATTTTAGCACTGAATAGATATTGGGAAAAAATTTTGACGAATTTAAGAAATATCTTCAGTAATTATCCTAAACAGAGAATTATACATCAGTTAAAATAACAATGAGTTTTATCAAATCTATGGATGTTAAACTAATAGCTCGCAGTTACACGGCGCTTAACACTGTACTATCCAATCAATCATTGAAGTCCGTCTCCTAATAATACGGAATTTTTACAATGTTATTATCCTCCTACTCCCCCTAACATCAACAGTAACTGATCAAAGAACGAGCTAGCCTCATTATATTGTCCCTTTAGTTCGATTAGATACTTTTCACTACTTCTATTCGCGCCGTGAAAACCTGAACCATTTCCCTTCCACCTGTACCTGACGGTCACCTTATTCCACTAGTAGTTTGAGGACCGCACATAGCCCGTCTAACTCCGAGATTTGTATATTTAGAACCAATGAGAAATCTTCTATGTCCTGTGAAAAGTGAGAGAGCATGGATACATTCAGTGCGGAAATCGGTAGATTGTATCGGGTAAGAACAAAAGGAACGTTAGCACTAATTATCACAATATTAATGATGGTAGTTTATCACTCACGGTCAGATATGAGGTAGTGTTCATTGCCTGACAAGAACGTGATATACGAAGTAGGAAAGTTATAGAGCACTTGTTCAAAAAGTATCTTTTATCGCTAAATCAAGGATATTTCACATGTATCCTTAGTTCATTCTCTAACAAATTTACATATAATAAGATAATAAGATTACACCTTTCTGTATGCATATACACGCTTCATATTTATTGCTCTTTTTTTCACTTTATTATTCTTTACAAGTTTTATTTATATTTTTATTTAGTGAAAATATTTGCTAATATATATACATAAAAACATATATCAAGGCCATAATGCGCAACCAGAAGGATCGATAAAAAAGTCCTTTAATTTCTATCCTTTATGGCACTTCTCTCATATAAGATTAACACACACAAATGTTGTCTTAGTGCCCTGCTGGTTCATTTTCTAATAATTCCACTTGCTTTTCATGTATTGCATCACGGATCACTTTTTGCAATTTTATATACTCCAGTCGATTCATACTGCCTATCTCACGTAGCGGATAGATCAATGAATTACCTAAAGAATAACTAAATTAAATTCAATGGTGAATTAGGTAGCAGCAATTCATCAACAGTCCTCTTCCTCTGATAGTTGAGCATTTGTATCTCACAGTAGCAAGTATTTGTACTTCACATATATTTAATATTAAGTTGCAAAATAAAGACAAAGAATTTCGAAGCATTTTAAAAAGTGTGGCACATTTTAGGAAATGCCGTTCGATTTTTGCAAAATGTTTTAAGGTAATTTAAAGTTCAAATAGTTTGAACATAAAGGAAATTTATGAAACAAATCCACAACTTTCTTAAATAGCGTAACTTAAAAATTTCGACAATAAAACGAAAAAAGGAAAACTGTTTAAGACAACTTACAAAATGCAGAATATTCATCCTCTGCAGCGAGCACTGTCGATTCCGTCGTTGACTCCCCGTCTACAGTGTTTGAAGTTGAAGTCATAGCCTTTTTTATCCTGCACCGCCCATCAACAAAATGTCTCCCGGAGGGAGCAGATGTCAAGTTTCCATCACCATTTCTCTTCCCAAGAAAGGACTCTTGACGAACAAGTGCCGCATCATTTATTTCGTCACACATTGAAGTATTTGCTCCCGAAAAGGAAGCGTTGCCATTGCTGAGCCGATCAAGAAACATCATAGCCGAAAAATATTTCCAACGTGGCTGTACCAGTTTTCCAGAGGCATCTATTTTTACCTTCTTCCGTAGTTTAAAGTATGAGTCTTTCAAATTTTTCCACTGTTTCTCTATATCGTGACCTAAATGCAGAAACGAAAGTTGGATATTATATGTCAAGGATAAGACCAGTCAAATAAATTCATCAACAGCGTGTAATCATTTAGGAGTTAATAATATCAAGAATTTAACATTGTAAAGTAGTTCCACACAGAGAGAAACTAATATGAATTCTATCTTGCAAAAGTAATTACAATTTTCTGTTTATGACTTTCATTCTTTTATAAATTTTGTTCTATAGTAATTAATGCAAATTATCCCAGTTATTTTCATTTTAAAATTGTTTACAAAGCCATCTATCAACTTTTCCGTTTTCCATTGTTGTTAAGTTTGCATACCCAATAAATTATGAATTCGTCTGTTTTTTAATGTGAATAAAAAGGGAAATGCACTTTTTGGAAAAAGTAAATATATTGAAAATGCTTACAAGAAAGCAAGTTTTCGTCGGTGCTAAGAAGTGCAGCAATTTCGATAAAATGATCTTTTCTCTGACCCAAATTTCTCAGTTCTCGACCGTGATCCCAAATTGCAGGCCGAAGATAAACAGCATCAATGATCGAGAATCTTAGTTCATCGTTTATCTTGCCAATTGTTTGTCGACTCTCCTGATGATGTGAAATATGATGCTCGTGTTCCACTCCCATTTCCATTTCACTGCTTTTATCCACAGGTATCTGTAAAATGTTTTCTTTTAGCTAGTTGAACAACAGTAACGAGAGTTCAGCATTATTATGTATGACTTCCAGAATCTCTCACTAATTCATTAGACAACTAACTATCACTCTACATATTCTGAATTACTTCATCTTCCATTATTTCACTATACAAAGTCTCTTGCTTTGTGATTGATGTAAATGTTATGAGTCGATGCTGAAACAGTTTGCAAAATAGCCATCTAGTCTTATATGTAGTTCAAACAAATATATCGTTTTCCCAAACATTATTGAACAAATTAGTAGTGTGGAATGCAAAAAACAAGAAAAACCAAAAATTGAATTTTATAACTTCAAAAATCCATAGCAAAAATCAAATTAGATAAAAAAATTTAAGATTGGGAGTACAGTCAAAAAAATGCTGCAATTCTTTTATGTATTGTAGCATGGATTCTTGTAAATTCCTCAAAATAATTCAAATATAATAAAAATAGCAATACAAACCTCCATAAAAACGCTTTCATGTTCATCAGGCAGTACAGTTTCTACGTACGTAGCGTTTGTTGCCGTGGAACCATCTATTGCACGCATGGCAACACGGATTGCATCCGGAATAATATGTGATGACTGAATGCTGTCACTTCGCATCATCATCCCCTTACCTCGTCCACCACGACAAAAAGCAGATTTTCAAAATATTTGGGTTTTCCAGTGTCTAACAACTTCTCTTCTAGGATAGCTGTAAATACATTTTATATATGCGAACGACGCAATAAAATTTGCGCACTGTCCTCCACTACATCTCACACGCTCCCTTGCCATCATATTGGTCTTGGTTTTCCAACACTAAATTCTCGATTAAGATTACAGCAGTTAACATCTTGATGAATAAAAATCAATACCAACCTAATATCAGCTAAGTTACAGTTTCTTCCCCCACAGTTTCTCCCCTTATCGATTAAGGTTACTTTTCCAATTAGAATCTCAGAAAAACTTGAAGCTGAAGTAGTGGAACTACCGCATCATTAAAACATTCTACTGATCAATATCCAGAAACTATTACTCTAATTCAATTTTTTATTCATTTTTATTTAACACTTCATAAAAAAATATAAAAGATAACTACAACAACAAGTTATGAACTATTTCGGAAAAATTTAAAATCCACCTAATGAATCAAAAACAGTAAGGATGAGAAATTATTTCTTATTATTCTGTAAGTGAACTGTCCGACTCTTAAAGCCGATAACATAGATTACAACGAGGTAACGTAATATTTGCACGGAAACAACTAATTTTATAGAAAACATATCATTGAATTCGATGCTACTTTGATAAGTCCAACAATCAGTGTGAGCTTCTTCATAAGTTTAAAGATGTTTCAAATTCATCTCTATTCTTTGTCAAGCATTTCTATTTTCAGTCTTCTAATCTATAGTCATCAATTCATAGTGATCAGATATTTCCATAACAAGAGAAAGCACGATGGGTAAAACTCAAGAAACAACTTTCTAAATCCCTATATGCTTCTATAAAACATGGTATTAACAAAATATCTTATATTTTTCAAACTGAATATATTTCGCACTAAATGATCACTTTCACTGCTTTCAACACAATGAAGAATTTGAAAAATTGTTTCCGATATTCCTTTCCTGAAGCAGCTCATTTTCAACTATTGATTTTGAGCATCGATCGCAATAATCTTCCCCTATAAGTCTGACGTTCCTTCTACAACGCTTACAAAACTCTCGGTCGCAAGTCACTAAATCAATTATGATTTTTTCACTGGTATTATCACATTCTATTCGAACCATGGAAACACCAAGAATTTCCACCAGCTGCGAATGATATGAATATGATTCTGTTTGCAGTGGATATAATTTTTGGAGACTAATATCGGGACCTCTTATCAAAATTCCCTAAAAACAAGCAGAATAATTATGAAACTAAAACGTAATTAGTAATATAGATATGAAAAATTTATTCCGTCCCATCTTGTTTGTACTGCGATATGCCTTTAGATCTCGCATAAATATGAAACATTCTACTCGCTAGCTGATTTATTTATAGTTTAGTAAAGGCTTATGAACTTTGCATATATCATACCAGTCTAGATAGATTATTTTGTCCATACAGTTCCAACATTCTAGCTCGAATACTAAGAACAGAATCCATGACGGAATACAACTCAGTCATATTTGGATCATCTGAGCAGTAAAACTGATTACACTTCCTGAAAATGAAATGATATTTTGAGAAGCGAAACTGAGTTTTAGTTTAACCAAAATTTTTTAGTCAAAAACTTCAAAAATTTCGAAAAGCGCTAGATAAAAATTCGCAAATAATCAGATTCCATATAACATTTTTACCTTAGAGCAATAGCAGAATCCTGAACGCATGGATGATGCATGAAAAACTCCGCCACCAAATGAGGCAATATCGGGGCAAGAAGTGCTGCTAAGTTCAATCCAATTTTTGCCAATGTTGCCTGGGCATTCTGTCTCTCAGAAAGCGTTCCACAGTATAACCTATTTTTCACACCGCTCTAAAATCCAGATATTGGAAAGGAAATTTTTTTTGCTTAAAAGTTGACAAAGAACAACATACCAACATGCCACATTAAATGTGAAAGAGGAAAACTTGACCATTTCATGGAATCAAAGGAATCATTTAATCAATATTAATACTCGTTATTACAACGAGGAGGACCTTTGCATTAAATGGTAAAACAATCCTATTTCGGAGTCCAACTAGACTTACTTGTGTGGATACTGTAATCTAGATAAGAACAAAAGTATATAATATCAAATTACTCTTAACTTTCTTTAAAGAATTAGGCAAAAACACTACTTACAATGTAAGGTGAATTGAGCGGATGTTGCAAAAACTGCATGTATTCGTTAACCATTAAGGGAAAACGATATTCGTTCCAGTTTTTGAGACATCGCTGTGTAAATTTTGCTAATTCTTGCAAAATATACTGAAAAAATTTTTTTGCAATTTATTAATCCAGATAACCGATAAACATAGTAGATTAATTATTGGGACTATTAAACAGTGACAAATAATTTAAATGCCTCAGAACAGAATATTATTCGAAAATTAATTAAATAAATTCAATGTACTGGATGATAACAAGAAATAAAAGTAAGGAAATAATAAGCAAAAATTTTCCTTTTCCTGATCTGTGAGCATAGTTCAACTGCAGTAATATTTGCTTATATTATCATAAATTTCTCTTGAATATTAGATATACGCACCCTATCAATATAAAACTTTTCATCACAGCAAACGGCTCCTTTATAACCGTTGACCGCACCAAGCAAAAACCAGAATGAAGCACGCAACTGTGTATAGTTTCGTCTAACTTCTTCCATGACCGAAGAGCCAATTCGTGCTTTATCTCCTTCGCATCCATATTGCGCTACCCAAAGACGAAGACCATCGGCACCATAAGGTTCTGCATTCAGTGAGCCATCTGTAATCTGCTCAGGGAGTTAAATCTATAATTGCGACATCAGAACTTCCATTTAGATTTCAGTTATTTTAATAATTTTCAGTTAAATTTTTATTTCTAGACCCTTTGATAAGACAGCGCAGTTGAAAATTAGGGAATTAAAAATGGGGAGTTATTGAACTTCATTACGAAAAATGTCTAAATGGACAGAACTGTATTATGCAACCTCTATTTCCTACCTATCACGTAGAGTAAATTGTGAGAGTGCACAGCTATTTAAAGATAAACTTGTTCTTCACTTTTACGTATTTGTTTACAGATTTCTTTTTCATAATGAAAAGCAAACCAGTTCAGGGCTGACTACATTTCCCATCGATTTGGACATTTTTTGTTTGTTTTCATCCACTGCAAAAGCATGAACATAGATGCACTTGTATGGTAATTTATTCTGAAATAAATGCAATGACCAATAATAAAAGATAATGAGATTATATAATCAAATAAACTGCTTACAAAACCCAAAATTTTATATAATTCCCGAATCAATAAAGTATAATTAATCTAATAAAAGTAACTGTGCAAAAATTGGGTAAACCAACAGTTACACATAAAATGTCGCTTATTCATTAAATCTAATAATATCGACGTTTTATATTCATAAATGCATTTCTGCTCCATTAGCTTTGTGACACAGGCCTGCTAACTGGTTGAGAAATCGAGATATACTATTTGTTCCGATTTTTTTAGCTACTTAAAATAGATTTGTCTAAATTTATAACCAACATTCAAAGCAAATGAAGTTAACGAAAGGGATTGGAACCAGCCTCGCAACTGGTCAACACCTTCCACAACGAGATCGACAGGTTCCTCCCTTTGGCGTGTTGACGCCCATGCAATCCCGCTATCCATCCATACATCTAGTACATCGAATGACTTTTCCAATTTTTCTTCTATTCTAATTCCATATTTGTTCATTAACTGAAATGTTTGGATAAATTAAAAACCGAAGTTTCCATTTTTTTTTTAGGATGAGCTGGTAGAATAAAAGAAGAAAACAAAAGTACTTATATTATTTATTATAAGTACTAATAAGTACTTGGTAAACCAAGTACTTATAAGAATTAGTGTCGATTAATTAACATATAAAGGAGAGTAAAACCGAACACATACAATGCAAAAACAACAAATCAATAAACTTTAATAATTAATGCCTTTTTAGGAAACAACTCATTCGCCGTGCATTCCCACCAAACGTCAGTGCCATATTTTTCAACACTTTCCGCCACCGCATTGCTGATATCATTACCCACAACAACACTACCGTCTGCCCTATAAAATGCAGGAATCGGAGTGCCCCAACACCGCTGCCGTGAAATGCACCAGGCGACTCGATTTTTTAGTTGCGTTAATAGAGCCTCTGTTTTATCTAAACAAAAAATAGCATAATTAAATTTTTATCAAACAGTAGAAGTCTGATGACGAACAGCTGAAGAATAATTAAGCAATATGATTCCAAAAACAATTAAGACTATTAAAGAATAGAGAACGATTAAACACAAAGAGATTTATAAAAAAATATCTGCATCGGTAAAACAAAACACCGTATAATTCGGTTACCAGAAAAGGTAGGAATTATGATATGAACAATTCAAATTCGACGTTGTATTTAATGAAAAGAGCTACCTGAATGAGGACTTCCTATAGGCAGCGCTTCGCTCTCAATTTTTTTGGCTGCTTCAACACCAACCTGTGAAACATCAATGAACCATTGTTTACTACTTCGTATGATTACTGGCTGAAACAGTGTGCTAATTTTATACATCCGAAAATATTACCAATAGACCATAATTTTTTCATTCCATAAAAACTTTCATAAATAAAAAGATCGTCGTTTTACTAACTCCAACATATTGATTTGTTTTATCAACTTTCAGAAAAATTAGTAAAACGGTTTTGACAATTAACTGAAAACTAATCTTACTTGAAATTCCAACTTCTCTGAGATCTTACTAATAAACGTCTTTTACAGAATTATAAGATACCTCTTTTGTTCTCCAGTCATATGGATATCGATGATTGTATTGATGCGTGTAGACAACGTTCTTCCTGAACATTTGCAATACAATGTCATTTCCTTCCCTCAAAACATTTTTACCCTCTAAATCGTGACCAAGATCCCTTGTATAGCAACCCCGTTCATCAACAAAGCAGCGGACTTTTTCACCAAGTTTTAATGCTATCTGAAAAAGAATGTTGAACAAATTAGGAAGAATTACTGCAAGACAACAAATTTTCCATATCCCTACAGTTGAAGAAGTAAAAAATTTTATAGATCCCTAAAATAATATTCAAAAATAATGAAAACAATATTTACTTTGAAATCATCTAAGCCATGTGCATAACTTAGGTGTACAAGACCTGTTCCAACAGCAGTTGTTACATGGTTTGCCTCTATAAATGGCTGTGCTAAATCATTAAACATTGTACTTCGATACATGAGTCCTTTCAGTTCAATACCAGTAAAAGTGAACAATATCTTAGTCATAATTTTTGTTTCCTTCTCGAAACTGCTAATCAGCTCCTTTGCCAAAATATATAAATGCCGGGTTGGACGCCTGTAAAAGTATTAGACAGTTAAATCATTAAATATATGAATGCTCAATTGGAGAATTAATTATCTTCGCACTCAAGCCAATGTAAGTTTGAAGCATGTTACCGACAGTGTCCTTCTGCAAGCAATTCTACTACTGCATATATTGCATCTTTTTTGTACGCAACTGCGTTATTCATTGGCAACGTCCACGGAGCTGTTGTCCAAATTAATGCATAGAGTTTTGTTGGACGCTTCTCTTTCTCACATTTAGAAAGGATTAACTCAGAATTTATTATCTGCAAAACATTTTCATTTAAATTTTTAGGGAAACATCAGTTTGAATTATAAACCTCAGATTTCTGAACAAAATCATCTTCATAGAAAACATTAACAATTTGAATTACAATTTCAGCAGTGTTAATAAACATTCAAAAGCTTCAAAATCTTGCAAAACTACCGCATATCGATAAAAAGTAGCTGTAGTGCTATGCTCCTTATAATCCAATTCCGATTCAGCTAAAGCTGTAAATGAACTTGGTGACCTGGAAATACGAAACCTCCGAAAATAAAACTGGAGAATAATTTATTACTACTGATGAAATATTAATTAAATGAAAGAAAAGTGCCTTGTACGAGTTTTGTGCTTCTAAATTATTTTAGTCACTAAGAAAAAATTTTCGTGATAAGTAAATTCAAAAGAAAAAAACTTGAAAATACCCATAAGATCGCAAAACAGATATAAGCTTACCAATAAACTGGCATAAATGTTCGATAAACCATCTTAAGCCTATACAATTCACCGAAAAGTCTGAGTTCTTTTGCAACATAATTTTTATCCATTGTATAGTAAGGATTTGCCCAATCAGCAGTGACCGCCCATCTCTTAAACGAATTCTCTTGGGACGCAATTGAATGTAGCGCTATCTGCCGAGCTGCTTTTCGTATTTCAACGAGCGAAATGCCCTTAAATCTCAAATTCCTTAGTAGGAAAACAAATAAAAAACGAGGTATTCTAATTAGAAATTTCTAGATATTTCAAAATTCAAATATAAAAAAAGAAACAAAAAACAGTCATCACAAAGATTTCATCTCTATTTTATAAAAGCGCATAATGCTAATAACCTTTTGTTGACTGTTTCTTGCTATTTTTAATTCAATTGGAAGTCCATGACAATCCCATCCTGGACGAAATAAGACACGCTTCCCACTGCAAATCTGACTACGAACGACAAAATCCTTTAAAATTTTATTGATAGCATGCCCAACATGTGCGTCACCATTTGCGTAGGGTGGACCATCCAAAAGTTCAAATCTAAAATGTAACTAATAAATTACCGATATATAAAAAATTAAAACAGTAATTCAATACATTTGCATTTCTGCACTGAAAATATTCACAACTATAAACTAACATTGGAAGTGATTGCCTAGTTGGTTCCTTCAACTGCCATTCATAAAATTCTTCGAATTTTGCTAAATATGCCAGTTCTGAATCCATTCTAGCTCTTTCACGAGGTTTTATGAATTTTTTGAACGAAGTTTTCGGCAAGAAGATACACTTTGCACGTCCATTTTCAGAAGATTGCCGAAATTGTATCTGAAAAAATGTTTTCTAACAATAATGATTCCTGGTAGCTTTGGAGAAATTCGAAAATAAACCTGTTTAATACTAGCTCGGTGATAAAATTTGGTATTTCAGCTTACGAACTAAAAAAAAGCATAACTTAATTATCGTATTGATTTGTGGTCCCTTCGAATTTTGCTAAATATGCCAGTTCTGAATCCATATATATATAAAAGCCGGTTATCATAAATTAAACAAATAACGAAAATAATTAACAATAAAAGTGGACAGTGGAATTATCGTATTGATTTTTGGTCCTACTTTGAATCTAGAATCCAACTAATCGGCAAAAACTTCGCTTAAAAAATCTGGAAGGTCATGCTATATTAATGGTAATGCTATTTTTACTTCTTTTCTACTTCGACACATCTTGATTTTTTCTTTCCCCCTCATTTCTTAACTTACTTTACTGTGACAAATATTCACTGAGTTTCTCCACAATGCACCGAGCATGATCTATGTCGAAGTGATTTAAGCCCAATGAAAATAGAAAATTATAACGCTTGTTATGTTCAACCAATATTTTCACAAAACGATTCAAGAGAAGATCGAAATCATCCTGAACAAATTCAAATGCATAAATATCAAAGATAATACAGATAAAAGGAGCTAAAATGAGAAACTGGAAAGCATGCAGCAATTCTTCCACTATCAACAGACGTATTAATCTGAATAATGAAATGATTACCAATGGCGGCCCTAAGAGAATTTTTGTATCGTAATCAGTATTGTGTGTCGGCTGAAGTCTAGAAGTAATCACTGCCTCAGGAAATATTACCTGAAACAAATTCGAATATTTCCAAGCTATCCTTGGCAAAATGAGCGTCGGCTAATACACTTTATGTTTTTTTCGCATATAATTTTAAAAAAAGCACTCCAATAAGAAAACAAGGCATAACTTACATGTACAATTTGTCCAATCTTCTCAATGTTAGAAATGATAACAACATTGACATTGGCAAACTGAACTATATTGAATCGCGTTTTGCTGCCATTGTAATCAAACGATAAGTCAATAACTGGTGGCAATTGTGGGCTTTCGAGCATTAAACTTAAAACTCGTCGAAGTTTTGTATATAAACTGTAATGTTTTATCTAACAACATGATGATCATGTGTAAAGAAGTATTAAAGTTTCAAGAACACCAAGTGATTAAAATCTTCGTTATCAAAAGACCACGATTTTTGATACAAAATATCAAGAGTTTGTAAGGTGATATCCTATCAACACAGAATTTCATAAAAGATCAGATAAAAGGTATTTTGAATGAGCACACTGTTATCAAATTTGAAGATACTAATTCTTAAACATCACGGATCTTTAAAACATTGTTATCTTGCGCATCTTGCAAACAATAACATAAACAAAAAAAAGAATTACTCATATTCTATAAATATAAATACTCGCCGACAAATCAAATATACAGTATCTGCATGGTTTTTTGAAAATAGAAAAATAAATATGCAAACATATTTCTATTACAGAAATATTATGAAAAGCCACTAGATAAGATCACGTTAACTAATGCCAGTATCGCAAAATCAAAGAACTTACATAAATAATTTTCAATTTAATGAAGAATTTCGACATCTGTAAAACAACTTTTTTAACAGAACAATTAAAGCAGTAAAAATGCTATATTCAAATGTGAGGCATTAAATGTCAGAAAACAATGTAAATAAGTGGAAACTTTGCATAATTTAATGCATATAAGAACCCGATTAATCTAGACTTAAACTTTTGCAATCAGCCACATTTATTCCCCAGTTAAAAAACAGAACGCCAAAATCATATGAGTTGGAAAGAAATACTCAAATGGTGGATTGTGAGTGCATATAGAGGTGCAAGAAATTATCAAACAAGTAATGACTTTCATCTGAGTTTTCAAAAGTTCCATGAAGAATTCAAGTAATGTTCACTTCTTCAGTTGTGCTAAAATCGTCTTCAGTTGGGAGATCCTTTGTTCTAAAGCACCAGGTTGTGCGCTTAGTACTGGATGTGACCTGAACAGAAATATTTTTCATCTCATAAATTATTTTTAATAAGCTTGAAATTTCTTAGAAAATTGATATATTTCGAACAGATGGATGCTTACCTTAGAGCAAGTGCAAGAAGATAGGTATACTCAAGGTGTGAAAATATTGCTCCTCGTTCTAGAATTAAAGCCAATAACTGATCAGGATCGTGATTGAGTAATTCGAAAAAAATTCTTGCTCTTTCCAGCTCACTTTCACGGTGTCCTGTCAACTGACTCAACCTCTGTTGCACCGCAAAAATATTTCGACAGACGCGTTTTTTTCCATTCTCATTCAGTTTTTGCATATGTTGGCTAAAAATTTTTATTCGCAGCAAAATTAAAGCGGAAAACTTTAAAACAAGCAATATCTTCAATATTATTTTCTTCGCACATTTAAATGTTAGTTATAAAATTTGTCCATGTGGTTGTGTAGATTAAACTTTTGAGAATCAAATACAGTACATAAATCCATTACCTGGAATGAATAAAGATGGAAGCTGAAAGATGCCCTAAACCATCAAACAGATATTTCATTTTATGCGGCGGAAGATTCGTGCTAAGTACCTGATGAAAATGAGCCATGTCGCGTCCAAAATCAATTATCTGTAGTTAATTACACTTTAAAAAATTCTTCATGCGTGAAGATTTGAAACTCCTAGTCAGTTTAAGTTTATGTGATGCAACCGAATATATAACCAAGCGTGAAGCAGAAAAACATAAAGAGATAGCGAAAAAAAAGAGAATATAGATACTTACCTCGTTATCGAGTTCATCATGAGGCAACGATGGTCTTACTCGAGCCAATGGTAACAAATGGAAGAAGCAATGTACACGAAGCTCAAGATGAATTATTAATAAACAAGTGTCAGCTTTTGCATCCAAATTGGCTAATCTGGAGTCTAGTGCAGCGGCAATATATTCTTCCTTAAAATTTGTTTGATTTCTTTAAGAGACCATTAATTCAACGGAAGTTTTTTCTAAGTATTAACTTACTGAATTTCCTAGGTATTAAATTCGCTGAACAAATTTAACTAAAATTTTCTTTGAATACTATGCTCCTTTGTTTCAGTCCTCTTCATAATAAAGTTACAAAAGTGAAATAAATAACATGATGTATAAAAAAACTATGGAAATATGCTCTGATATATGATTCAAATTTGTAATCATTACCGCTGTTATAGTCATATTTTGCAATTTTTTTAAGATGCTTGCATGCTTTACGTATTCCAAAACAATATTTGCCTAGACCTAAGAACATAAAATGTTGCTATTATCAATAAATTATAAACTAACACATTACCGATTGATGAACAGTGCCACTTTCATCTGTTCTTTGCAACTGTACAACGCATTGACGCATTGCATTACGCGACGATTCTGGGAGCTTTTCGATGAGAGAACGCATGCTGCTACAAAACCATTTCAGTGATTCATGTATACATGCCAGCGAACGAATTACTTCAATATCAGTTATTAGCTCATCACGAACGAGCTGTTTCGCTGTTCCCAGATTACCTGAAATGTAATTTGATTAATTTCCAAACTCAGAATATCTGTTTTCCACTACTGACGGTCAAAAACAGATATTGTGAATCTCAAATTAATGACCTTCTTACGCAGCTTTCAGTTACAGACGGGAATGGGAAAATTTATTTACCTATGAGAATTTCCGATTCTCTTTCATTTCGGTAACATACATCACTTTCCGATTCACTTGTGGGTGAAACTGCAGAAGGTGTGTTAACTGATTGTGTTGAAGTACTTTCATAATTGCTCACCATGAACCAGTTTGGTAAACTCTTTAAGAGACGTGATATGTCTTCATCCACTGCCCATGCTGCGCTTATTTTACGCTTTTCTCTATGTCCATCTTCATGGCTCATATTGGAAACTTGAAAACTGCTACCCTGTTGCATAAATTTTTGAAAGCAAAAACTTGAACTATTAGAAACAGAAAAGTAAGTACAGTTTGCATCATTGGAGCGTAAATTTTTGACAAGTCACGCACATCCTAATGATATGATAGCAATATGCAACTGAACTGCTGACGCGTTTCGAAAATATTCTGACGTGCTGTACAGCAGTGTTACAGAATGCTTCTTTAATTTGGATGTGGTGTTAAGTCAAAATCATCTTAGCTAAAAAGAAATTTATGATGCACAAAAAGTTTTTTGAACATTATTAATACACATCCAAGCAAAACAAATAACATCTTACTGTACCATCCTTTGCTTCTGAAGTGGGCTTCCAAAAAGGCAAGACCTTTTCATAGACATTATTAGCGCTATCCGAAAATTCATCAATAACAAGTAACCACAATGCTGACAACCTTTCCGTGTATTTATCCATGGCAAGAATCAATTTTCCAATTTGACTACAAACTGAATAAACATTCCAACAACTTCCCAAAACTTTCTGCAAGTGAAAAGTAACGAAAGAATAAACTCACGATGTGCAAAAAGATTTACCCGAAAACTGAAACATTTTTCAAGTGATATATACTTAACAAATTCAGCTTAAATGAAAGCGAAATTAAAAACATACCGGATTAGGGTAATGCATAAGAACACGCCAGGCATCCTGTTCATTGAGTGCTTGCTCGGCAAGAGCCTCAAGCTTACATTTGAATTGATCGATGAAAACGTTAACAATGAACGAGTGTAAATAAGAACGTAAACGACATGGTTTTATGTTCGTTTCGGTTTCACGCTCATTGCAGAAACGTTCAAGTTGTGGATAAAGAGAGGTAATGTTCCACGGTGAAGAAGGACATATCAGAGATTGAAGCTGAAAAACAAAAAATAAGTTTTGGAAATAACTAATGCCAGCAAATAGAAAGAAATTTAGTTCAACTATCTCCTTGCATCCAATTTTTTTTTTGCAGCTGACAAATTTTTAAAAGAAGTTTTGATAATTAGAGAAATGAAATTAACCTGTTTCATGTTTTGTCCTGACTGAGTAGTAAGTGCGCAAGCTGAAGCATCAAATCTGAACAAAGTGACTTTTTCCGCAGCAGATGTATTTGATTTTTGCATAACTAAACTGGATGTACTGCCATCTTCCGCAATATACTCGTCCACCAGATTCTCGATCATAGCTTGCGCTGTTTCCCAATAATTTTCGGATAAAGATATCACTTCATCATCACCCAAATCGTTTTGTCGCAGTTTTTTAAGTTCAGCATCCATTACAAGATGTGCCTCATAGCTACTACGAAATTGACTTAGCACCTGCAAAGCATGCGTTAACAGCATGTATGGTAGGAGACACGTGAACTGTTTTACACGGATAAAAAAGAGCATCTGGAGCAAAATTAGTAAGTATGAAAAAAATTAAAACAAATGTTGTCCCATGACTATAAGCAAAAAGACCATAATTAAGAACAGAAAGATATAGATATCTATCTTCTTAATTCAATCCTAACATACTTGACTGTTTTGCTAAAAACTTTAATTTTTCCAATTTTTTCATCTATTAAAGTCTTTTGCAAGAAATAAAAAAGCAATTACCGTTGAGAATGGCAATTCTGTGCAAAAAAAAATGAAAAACAAATTTAAATGTGACAAAACTCAAACAAAGAAATAAGAAAAACAATACCAACTGCATAAATTGAGCTAAATTCTGTTCATCGCCTTTTTGATTTCCGTCAAACGCAACACAAACTACATTCGTCGATGTATGTATCAAACGGCTAAATACTGTCGGAGAACTTTGTAAAAACCGTCGAAGTGTTGTTGACAATCTGCCGAATACACATAATGCATGAATATTTTCGGCACAACGAGCAGCTACGGAATATATGCCATTCACAGCCACATTTTCTTTTGCAAAGTGAGACATAATTTCAACGCATTCTGTCGATTCCGCAACTTTATTTTCCGGCAGAGATTTGATTATTTCAACAAGCTTAAAAGTAATAACACGAACGTACGTAAACTTGAGACTGATTTAGAGAAACGTAAATAAGAACTAAGGGCACTGTTAGGGCTAGAAATATTAACCAAACAGGATTTCGATTTCGGACTTTCTTACAATTTCTATATGTACGGCATCAAGATCTTTTACATTCAAAAATGCAAGACAGTTACAACTCACATGATTTTCGAACGGCCGAACGATCAAATGATGTGTGATGTCATTAACAATCCGTTCCACGAGTTTCTAAAAATACAAAATAAGAGTGCGACAAAAAGTTATCAATTGACTGAAACACATGATGCTTAAATAAAAGTTTAATCAGTAAAGTGGATAAACTTCTTTACTAAATTTTTTCAAATGCTGTTCAGTATGAGTTATTACAAACTTCAACTCACTTTGGACAAATCAAGCAACTGTGAACGTAATTGATTCAATCCATCAATATTTGAAAATGGACCATTGAATAGGAGATCTGGAATGTTACGTCGTAAGATTCAAACTCAAAACGAAAATAATTAGCTTTTTGTGAAAGAGTCACAGACAACGAAATATAGACCGGCTTCATTTAAGGAATTCGCAGCTAAGTGATAATTTGAAGTCGCCATAGCTGCCTCAACTTCATTTTCCAAACGATTTAATCCTTCTCTGTAAATGAATAAATCATATAAAATATTCCAACAATAATTTTCCGGTGAATCCGAAATCAGTAATACTCGAAATCAGTAATAATTATGATACAGTTGCATATTACCATAGTTATATCAAGAAAGATTCACAGATAAATTGTTTTATCCATCTCCTAATAAAACTATATGTAAATGAACTTCCTGCCTTAACCTCATTAAGCCAAGATACTGCATTGGTGACTCATTTACCATGCTGTTACCAACATTTTTTTTCTCATTTCCGTGATTCCAAATTTCTTGTACGAGATTTCAAACATACGAGAATTAGAAAATCAAAATACATTTGAGCCAGAATTGTGCTGACGTGTTTTTGTTGAGCATTTTCCATCCAAAGTCTTTTTAAATCATCCCGTCTACATTGTAATAGAGAGCGGCATGTAAGCAAACTACTACGTATACTGTGTACTTTTTCACGGCAGGCTGGAAAAAAGATAATACAGAAAAAGGTATCATGAGAATAATTTTAATATATTTATGTACAAGACGTTAGTATTATGTACTATCTTGAATAAAATGTTGTATTAACTTAAATTTTAAAGAAGATAACCGACCCGTGATTCGAGTGGAAACATTTCTGAATGACTCCAAACAAGTACCAACATCGTTTTCATGTTCTGAAGAATTTTATCTTTTGGTTAAAACTTAATTTTATAAATTCATTGAGAACGAATCATTGAGCAACAATTCCGTCATAACCAAACTGAAAAAATTCCGTGACTGCTACTTATGAGTCCTTTTGCATCCCAAAATTAAAAGTGAAATGATAAATATCCATCATAAGGCTAGCTTTACTTCTTTACTACTTACCAAGAACTAGGCGATCTATTTCTTTTGAAGTTTCAGCAAATCCTGCTTCCAGACGCCTACGATCTAATTCCTTTTGATCTGCCGAGGAGTTACTTGTCAGTGTTCGAATCATATTCAGCAGTAAAGCACTCTGTCAAAAGAAGCAAACACTTAGCATTATTTCATATAACATGGCTATATCTATTTTACATATCACAGAAAATGCCATAAATACAATACAAATTATACTGAGAAATTGTTACTAAATGTTTGAAATTTTATCAGAGATTATGTTTCTTTGGTAGTTCACATGTATTTCCCATTTATCTTATGGTTGCTTCAGACACACAAACATGGACAATAACAGCCGATAGTCACTGATATTAAAAATTATATAAAATTAGAAGTTCCTTGTCATTACACTACGGGAGGAAATCAAACACTTTAACGATAACATTCGGAAATATGCAGTCTATTCTTCTTTCTTTGTATTTCATCTATGAGTTATAATTCTTTCTATTTTCTACTCTTTTTGTGCTCATTTTTTACAAGCATTTCCATTTTCGCAATAAGTACCATAAGAGATATGTCATATAATAACTATAAATCGGACCACAGGTCGTAAATGATAAATGTAAACAAAACAAAACTGTCCAGCTATAAAAAAGTGAAATTAATGACAACAATTTATGAGGTTACTTTTATTCTTTTATGTTCGAACAGGAGATATAACGAGCAGAAAGTTGTAAAATTGTATTACGTATCATTTTGTTGATGAAGAAAAGCTGTTTGCTAAATTAACCTATCATATTATGTAAATACATATTCCTGCTATGACATCCTCACGCATGCATTATTCTAATCAAAATAAATTACCGCATTATCCTGAAGAGATCCATGCTGTGCCCGTCTCGGTCTGTCACTCGACATTCCAGTACCCTGCAAAAAACCGGATTAGCTGGAACACCAGATCACCACTTAATATCCTGAAAGTCGAAAAAGATTAAAAACACCATGGACGAGTTTTCTTGTCGAGACCACGGTGAAGCAATGGACGGAATTGAATGAAGGGAATACGTCGGCGTGGTGTCGGTTGCCATCAATCAATCAATCATGTTGGACTGGGTGGAGTGGCAGGCGGACAGACAGCCCTTTCTCTGTCTCTCTGGAGGAGAGTGAAGGGGAAGCGGAGAAACGGGAAGGGATCAGAGTGCGGTATCGAATTCTGATGAGAGCAGGCGGGGAGAGGACTCGGGAGGGATTACGGGGGAGAGGGTGTAAAGAGGGAAGGGAAGGGATCCTCCCTGACTAACCATGGGAAACATCGTCACTACTGATATATACAGATCCCCTGGCATGGACAAATGAGGAAGAAGCAGGCGAAACCCGCGAAACGGATTGCTGGTGGAGTGTTTCCGGAGGAAGATGGCTCGCCGGGAGATTCCCGAGAGTTGCTTTCTCCGGCATGGCATTCTCCGTCATCTTCCTCTCCTCCTCATACCAGAATCATATCAGCAACAGAAGAATCGGATAATTCGATCGGAAGTCCTTTTTGCGCATCCGCTATGCGGGATGCGGAGGACGTCTTCCACAATGATGCTCCTCCCTTGAAACTTCCTAAGCATGAGCCGGATGATTTTGGGAGATGTATTGGAGAGTGTGCGCGATTTCTCAGATCGCAGTTTGCTCATTGCGGGTTCGCTAATGGACAGAGCCATCCTATTCCCGCAAGCTGTCCAATCCCCATCATTTCTGGTGCCAATGACTACAATAAGCCTTTCCTTTCCCCGTTCACTGCGATTGGAAATTTCGCGCAGAGCAGTTCATTTGATATTCCGTGTTCAAGTGTTTCCCGAACCGACGGATCTACCTGGTCAGCAGATTTGGAATCTCCGCTGAAACGTTTGGAACGATGTGTGTGGGCCAATAGTGAGGCGGAATGTTCGACTTTTGGACTTTACAGAAGCAGCAGACCACCCGCGTCGGCAAGATATGCTTTGACTCAATCGCGTACTAATGCTAATTCGATGAAATTACGCCTTGGATGCGGTAAATTTGCTCCAAATTTTCCATTGTAGCTTTAAATAAATTGTGAGCGATAATTTGGGTAGGTATATGTTGAATGCAATACAAGAATAAAACAGATAACTCGAAATTTTGGGGTCATCCCGCTGACATGTTGAAAGATGTCGCAAGCTTCGGCGAAACAGTGTAGGTCTAGTCATTATGAAAGAAGGAAGCGGATTGAAAATCTTCCAGAAACTGGGAACTGAAATCATTTATCTTACTGAATAGGTCTCAACTTCGTTAATTATAATAATTCAATACTTGTTAGAACTGTTCATTTGTTGTTCGTTTTATTCTGTTCATTTATTTATTAATTATAATATTTCAACACTTACTTATTGGAAGTAACGTTTTAAGGCAAATTTACATTTAAAAACCGTTTGGAAAATCCAAAAATTGATTAAAACTGCATAACTGAAGTTCTTTCAATTCATAATTTTTCTTTCGTTTCTTTTATGATTGACAGATTTTCTTACAACTCGATATAACAAATAATTTGCTAGCAAATTATTAATAGTTCAGGTGGATTAAATTTTCAAATTTTAAACTATTTTGTGAGTGGGCATATAGATATGGTTTGAACAAACAGTTTATAGTCTGCAACAGATACCGTTTAGATTCTGAAAAATGATGCAATAAGAAATTATTTCAGATTCAACAAAGGCATCAGCAGCAGATGCTTTAGGTGAACTGTCGCAATTGGTACATCGAATTGGTACGACAAAATTACCGGTACCAGCAACGCCCAACAAATGTGTTTCTAACAGTATCACTAGTAATATTTTCACATGCCTAAAATGTGCTCATCGATTTGATACACTTGATGAATTAGTGCTTCACATCAGTACAACAAAACATTTCACACGCGGTTCAACCAAAAATTCTGACGCTGTGTGAGTTTTTCACTTTTTGGAACTTATTATTCTGGTGTTTTGATGATTTTTCTTTAATTCTTTTCAGTCTTTCTGGTTCACTTCAGTCCTAAAATCAAAATCTAATTGCACTGACAATTCATTAGAATAAAAAGTAAAAAAGAAATGTCTCGGTGTCGATTTGTGATAATGCATATAACTTATCTCCTTATGGTTATCTCCTCGTGAACTGAGGATTCGGACCTTATTTCGGTTTGAAATTTTTAATGTCGTAAACCTGACAATAAAGTTGGTGTGGACATTTTGGACAGGAAGGTGTATAAACTTTATCCCCAAATATCAGTTGATTTTTTTCTTGAATTTGAAACAAAGTTGAAGATAGGTATAAGCGCAGAAGAATAAATGCGAAATTTGTCTCATCGTTTGCATGGTCATGTTGTCTAGCAGAAACATTATCCGAACCTTTTGATAATACTACAAAATCTGTCGAAATGAACTTGCAACAGCCGTCAGTAAACTATTTCATTCAGCTTGTTGCTTATTAGGTTACCAGTACACTGAAATGTTAGCATCTGTTTTTAGGCACGCTTGAAGCCTTTGAGGCTCATATTCTTCACCCATAAGCCCAAAAAATGTTGCATCAGGGAATGAGCAGTTAGAAAGCCCAATTTTTAGAGCACCATGGGAAAGAGATCGAGCGGCAGCAGATTTCGAGAAACAGATGACTTCATCGAATTTTCTAGCATCGTTATTTTATGCACAAAAATGTCTTAAAGTTAGTTCTGCTTTTAATAATTATCATATTTTAAAACGAATATTAGCCTCTTGTACTTGAAATTATTGAAGTGTATGCATCAGTTTTAGACTTTTTAAAGAAGGAATAAGCAAGTGTAAGGAAGAGATTCCAAAAATTTGTCCTTTCATGGAACATTTTATTTTGATGGAACGTTTATGTCTCCATTTATTTTTAAAATTTCATTTTAATTTTTGAATTGTAAATTTACAGGTACCACAAGATCTATCACAAAAAAGCATCGACAATAATGTTTGAACGGGTTTTTCCAGTATTGAATAATTTGTTATATTTATTCCGAAGTTGAATAAATTAATTCTCAAAAAAATGTTGGTTCGATAAAGGTGCGTACTGTTGACAAAAAGTTATGTCATTGATTGAAACCTGGATGTAAAATGTTTTGACTAATGAGGTTGGTATGGAAGCAAGTTAGTTTGCCAAGTTTTGCAACTTTTAAGTCATCTCCTTATAATAAATAAGGCGGGGTTTCAAATCATTTGATTCTTATTAAAATAGCATTCGGAAAGATTTGCGGCTTTGGTAGCGCAAATATGCCTATGGTATACTATTCAAATATTATAATTTTTTTAAAACTATTTTGATTTTGTTCGTCTGCTTTACGAATTTGTTAATTTCTGCACGGTTCAATTGTTTTATAGCCAAAGACATTATATTTGATTGATTTTCTCTTCTGTTATTAATGTTGTCGATGCCATGTAGATTATATCATCCTTGTGAAGGTTATGTACAGAAGTGTTCAAAGTATTTAAATCATCTGCAGAAAGTAAAATATTATAACTATTGCGAAAAGAAACCTGTTCAGAGCAAAATCTAGTAATTATATTTTTCTTTTAAATATTAAGGATATTGCTTGGAAAATATTTAAATACTAGGAAAACAAGTGTTTGTCAATAAATTATTTCAAGAAAGATTTCGCTAACATTGCTATGCTTTTTGTGACTTAATCAGTAATTGTTAATATGTGATTAATAGTTTTGTCCCATAATTTTAAATTGGTAAGGGATACTAATCTAAGATATAATCTAAGATAATCCATGTTACCTGTCCCATGAACATCCGGATCACTAGTGTTGGTCCATACTCAAGATATTTAGGCAATATTTTATTACTGATGTTATTAGGGATTTCTTATTAGTCCAGTTTCTTATCATTGTGGTCAACGGAGCGATCTTTTTCCTGCATTTTAAATTTATTAGCTGAGTATCATAGCTTACGCGTGGTCGTATGACGTTTTATTTCATTTAACTGTGAAGGATATCGCTATCAGTTAAACATTTTTCTTTCAAAAATGCTTCCATTATGATCATTTTCTCTTTGTGTTTGTAAACAGTCTGATTTCACTACTACAGAAGTAAGGTTGATAAAAGATTGAGATTTACATTAAATTGAGGACTAAATTTCAAAATTAGTGGAATTTATTCTAGCTGGAAACTTTCCAGACGGTCCTTTATTTTAAGTCATGCTACATTCTTAATTTCTTTTCGCAAGTTGATCTCTGTTAACTTTCTTTTATTCTCCAAATGTAAAATGGGTTAGAAGCATTTCAATTAATGTAATCTTAAGCATTGAAGCAAAAATTTGTACAGCTTATAAACCGTTAATCATTTACTTTTTTGGCGAAATAGTGAAAAACTTTGGTGACACAAGTGGTTCTCCTAATCTTATCCTCTCTCCCTGCTTGTGATTTTCTTTATTTCCGGAAACAATTTTCATCTCTCAGGAATAGAAATTGGTCATTTCTAGGTCGGTGGGTTCAGTACAGACTATGGCGTATGACATATTACTTTTCTAGAACGGTGACCATTATTTGTTCGCGAGATCAATTTGGGAATTCTCAGGCAGTCTGGCAAATTTTTGGCTTACCTAATTTAGCTTACCAGTTTCTTCTTTTCGAAAACGGTTTAGTTTCCCAACTCACATTTAAATCTCATCGACAGCTGGACTCCGATGATAGTTGTTCATCCGTGATCAGATTGAGTAGCCTTTTGCTTGAAACACAGTGATTAAAAATCATCTGGCCTTGCAGATTTTTATGATGATATATTTAATTATATTTTATGGTGATATATTTAATTTGGATGTAGAGATCTTTAGTGGATTGTTACTCCAATTAATGAACGGAAAAGTCGACAAATAGAAAAAATATGCTTATTCATCGTTAGAAATAAAAACAGAAGTGGAAAGCCAAGACTGATTAAAAGCATAGTAGTTTAGAAAATACATTTAAAGCTTACTTCCTTTTCATTTCTCTTACTGACATGTTTAGTTGGAAGATATGATAGTTCATTATTTCTTTTAAAAGGAACATTCATATGATTTTTCAAATAACAAAAAAATAGATTAGTAAATTATGCTTGTTGATAGTAAATTGTAGAAATACAAACAAGAATAATTTAATTATTTTGAGCTTGATCTTTAGGGCTCAAAAAGATGAGGTGATCGTTCAGGATAGCTTTTCACATACACTGACCTTCAGAATGTTCTCAGCTCATGATATTACTGTTAGGATCATTAAACCAGCTTCTAATTAAGCTTTGCACTTCCCATCCCCTTCATTACATTGAGTATTCTCTAAAATAAGTTATCCGTTTGCTTCTCTAAATCTCTCTACGTTTGTAATTCCATGCATTTGCAGTTTGCACTACCACTCATGCATGAAGTTTACGTCTATGAAATGCACCTTCTTGCTTTCGTTGTTTTGTCATAAAACGAAAATAAGAAAAACTCTTCTATTTCATTCTTAATGAAAGAGAGAAAAAAGAAATGTGCCATTTCATCTCACTGTCAATCCATCTATATCCATTTATTTTCGTTTTTTTCTCCTCTCAGAATTGCATCTATCATATAAGAAAAAGTAATTCCTTCGACACATTTCCTCATGCGTGTTCACCGATCTCAGAAGAAAGCGTTACTTTTTGTGGGATTTTCTTGCGACAAACGCTTTGTAAATGTTATGATAACTTAGGTCTATAAATGAACTAAGAATGTTATAATTTCTTCAAAATTTAGCACTATATTCAGAGCTATCAATATTGCTATCGTTCATTGGTGCCTAATCAACTGGAAAGTTGTTCCCCTTCCCCTTTCCTTCCCTCTCCCTTCTCTCTCAATCGTCTCATTTGCCTATTCCGTATAATTTATTCCGATGTTTTAAATTTGGGTTTTTTTCTTAACTTTCAAAGTTCCATACAAGTTTCATTTGAAAATTATTAACTAAATATGTGATAATTTCAAATGTAATTTGATATGATTCAGTTTAGTTCATTTATCTCATAAATCGCTTCCTTTTCGACTTTTAGAGAATTCGGTATTTTAATCCTGTTAATTTAAGTGATTATCGGTTAGTTCCGCTTTACATTTCTTACACATATTCAAATTTAGAGATTTCAAAATATAGATCCGCTTTTATAAGAGTCTTTCTGAATTCCCTTAATTCTAAAGATATAATTTCTTATTGATTGTCTACATATTTTGGGAAAATAATTACAAATGAACTTATTGTAATTCCCCTCCAGTCTTTAATTTATTTGAACAGTTGAGTTCAAAAATATATTTTTGAAATTTAGTTTATTTTAAGATTGGAAACTGTCGTTATGATATAAAAATAGTTGAAATTTTACGATTTGCATTTAGTTAATATTTTTGGTATACGTAATTAGCAATTTAACGAAAATTCCAGCAATTTTGTGTGGGAAGAGTGAATCGTTCAATCAGATGCCGTCACATCCAATTCAATCAGTAAATTGGCATCAATAAACGATATATCTGAAATGAATAAAATGGTGGAATAAATAAATTAATAAAATAAAGTTATAACAATGACCCGTGACCGTTGGTTACTCGAATAATAGAATATTGTGGGCAGTTCCAACGCAAAATTTACAATTGTTCATATTCTATTTATCTTTGAAAGCAACGATGAATAGAAAATTATTATAATAAGTGGTAAAGTGGGTGAATTTGTTCTTCATTGAAATGGCATAGGCCAACTCTTCATAAACTTCCACTAGTCTCATTAGATTTTCCAGGCCCATAAAATTCTACAACTTTCTATAACAGCCAAGATGGTAATAAAAAAATGATAACAGCGTCAAGCAATTATTGTTTCTGCCGTGCTTTTATTATTACTGTTTGAAAGGATCAAATCTAATTTATCCTTCTGAGGCGTTTGTGTATTTCAAGAAGACCGTAATCAGAGAGTTAAAGTTCACTGCCTTCCAAAATAAAAATTATCAGGAATACGAATCTTCTACTGGTTGTCCCTAATTTCGAAATTTTGCTGTGCTTCATTTTAATTTAATTTTCTGGAAATGTTTTCGATGCAATATTACAGCCTTTGCATTTGCCTCTTTCCCTGCTGATGTATGTTACAACGTTAATATTTTGGAAATTTAATCCTTCAATTCTATTTTATTCGTATTTTATTTTTTTGTCGCTAATAAGAAGCGATATTATTGCTAGTGATTCTGTCAATAATGGAAGTAATTGTAGACAATTTACACAGAATAATCGACGTGTCTATGAATGCATCAATGTTACATTTCAGAATATTTCTCCGATTCCATCTGGAACGATGATTCTCAGAATTCTAAATTCTATGATAAAACAGTTACTGTTATTAAATAATACAGAAATTGTAACAGTAATGATGAATTTTTGTAATCTGTCAAATATCTCACCGGAGGCTTTTATTTTTGCAACAAATTTACGAAAACTTGACCTGTCACACAACCTACTTCAAACTCTCGAATTCAAGAGTGATTCTCAATTTCTCATTCAAAATTTGATTATCTCTTATAATGATTTCATAGCTGTTCCATTACTGTACTCCCTACAACAATTAACACATCTCGACCTTTCACATAATAAAATTCGTCACCTCGCTGAATATAATTTATTACTGCCTAAATTGGAAGTGATTGATCTGTCCTATAATCAACTTCATGTCATAAAATTCACGAATTTCGGAGATATGATACGAATCGTTGAATTGGATGGATGTCCGTGGCGATGTGATTGTCATTTACGAGATTTTATAGCTTTTCAACGAAAAACTTTAAATGCCAAATCATCACAATGTTATGAACCATCACAAATTCGTGGCATCAGTTGGGATGATCTTAATTTAGAGGTAAGCGAAGTTTTCAATCTAAAAATAAATTGATTACTAAGTTCTTATTCCATCCAATAGTCATTGAGTTATTTGAAGGCTTCAAAGAATATTTTAACATGAATCAATTAAGATATTTTGAAAAGTTGATTATCTTTTTTATTAAATATACTGCAATAATTATCAAAAAAATACAACATTTCTCTTATTGCATAATGAATGGCTCATTTATAATTTGAAAATTTTTATAGCATTTTGAAAGAAAATTTGCAGTGTTCCAATTTTTAAAGAAAATTTTATTTGGATATTTATTTGCATATTAAAAAAAAGTATTGTTTATACCAAAAATTCAGTAATGTTGGACTACGCTTAAATGTTTATTTGACGATGCATATATGAAAAGCTTTGAAAAGACTTATTATTAATTGGTAAAGATTAAGCGGTCATTTTAATTAGTATGCATTAAATGCTCATTATTGGGTAGGAATATTTTGCAGCTGTGATCGGGAGGAGATATTTGTTTGATTATATTTAATATTAAAAACTATCACGTCTTCTTTTATTCTGCACAAAATCATCTTTTTTATATTTGAAATTATCTCTGAACTCTGAACAATTCAAGTACATTTTTCATCAGCAGTCTTTTTGAAGTTTTGAAGTTGCTGTAAACATTCCTTCCATCTATATAATGTTTTTCATCGAAACATATCTCTTTTATCAACGAGACTTGACGATAAAATTAAATAGAGTGCTGTGAAAGTTAATATTATTGGAAAAATAAGTTTGTGGTTATTTTGAAACAGGGATCACATATACACTGGAATAAAAATTTTCAGTTTGTAATCAAAAGGAATAATAAAATATTTATGTATTTGATAACAGTTTCAATAGAAACATTATAATTCGAATAATATTCCAATAGATAACTTATCTGTCTTTTGCATGTCAGGCATAAGTATGAAAGTAGCATTTATCCATTTAATACATGAATGAATTTATAAATTTCCTCTTTGTTTTTAAATAAAATCCAATCCCAATTTCTTAAATTATTGAGTTTATAGTAATTTTTCATTTATTTTATAATTTCTTAGAAAACTTTATCTGAGGTATATTAGATTGTTAAATACATTAAAGTTTTAAATTTCTTCCTACATTTTTTATCTCTTTGTCGGAAATTGTGCGAAGAAATCTAGCAAGATGAAAAATTCCAAAAAATTTCTACTATGTGAACTTGATAACATATAAAACAAAAATTAAATAAGATCTAAATATGAATTAAATATTGTGTTAAGTGTTGTTATAATCTACTTTAAGAATAAAAAAGAGAATCTACTTTAAGAATAAAAAATACTTCATAAATATTCATTGTTGGTAGATCAGAGATATTAAATATTAAAAAAATGATAAAACTTTTATACCTCGTAGAGCTTTTCACTTTATAACATTTGCATCTTTAATTTTCCTATAAGGTAACTTGAAGGAAAGCTGACCATTAATGAATAAGAATGCATTAACAAAGAACTTTTTTATATGTTTTAACTGAGAGAAATGTCATTTCAAGAAACAATATTTTTCTATTTCACATTAGAGAGATTTTTTTGTTTGAGTATGTTCAATCCAGTTTAAAAGTTTTTTGCATTTATTTCAGATAAGAATATTGAATATCAGAATGATAGTATAAATTTTCAATCGAAATTTTCCCCGAAATAACAATTCTTCATGCAAGCTTTTAAAACCGATTCTATGATGACAAAATCCAACATCAAAGAAAAAATTTTTCGTTTCAAAAAAATCAACAACTGTAATCAAAAATTCCAGACGATATTACATCTTTCCACGTGACCTCTAGCCTTCATCTAATTTTTTTCATTATTCAGATGGAGAAGGCCCTAATTTATCGCTGAAAGATGCTGCAAAAGTAAGAAAGAAGTATTGCTCTCTTCCAAACCTCTCATTGCTTTAATTATGTATACATTTCATTTGTGGTTTGGATGAAAATATTTCATCGATGTTCTAAAAAAAATTTAAATTTCTAATGACAGTTAGATTGCTATGAGTGAACAAATCATTTTTTGCTTGTATATATGAATTTGATATCGCATACAATTTTAGTGATCATTCAGAACGCTTCTCTTTATTGATGGAATTGAAAATACTCAAAAAGTTATCATAAAATAATTAGCAATTCTAAAATTTGAGAATTGAAACAAACATTTGAACTTGTTAATAATGCTAAACGTATCACAATTGCAACTACACCTTGTTATGCAAATGGGGTCGTTGGTACGGCGTTGAGGTTGTTAATTTATTGAAAAAAATGACCAACTTTATAAACAGTATGCTCTCTATGAATTTGTCAAAACGTCGCCAATACATCAAATCAATTAATAGAACCAAGAATTAATTAAAAATTTGCAAAGATATATTTTAAAAATGAATATAAGCAAACATTCGATCATCTTTACTTTTATCTCAAAAGAGTTTTCAAAAAAAAAATTTCAAAGTTCCTTAAAAAGGGAGCTGTAATTTTCTTTACATTAATTTTATTTGAAAAATGTGAGGAAAATGTTACACAGTAATTAAATTCCTTCTCCTTCGTCGTCAAGCAGATAGTGATTACGTATTTATAAATCCAATAACTTAGGCTTTCAACTGTTAAATGTTCCAAGGAAGTCTTTTTTGATTAGTGCACTGAAAATAGTTATTTAATTTCATATCTTTTCTGATTTCTAGAAAAAAAAAGTTTAGTGGGAGGTCAGTTTATTATAAGTTATGGTTCTTTCGGTATCAAAGTATATTGCATACAATTGATTAAGGTTTACCTATTCAAGCTCCTGTCAAACTTGTATAATCCTTATTTTTGGTAAGGTGGAATTTTTTAATCAATTTGTGAATGCTAATAAATTAAAGAGGATAACGATTGGAAAGATTGGAATGACCGTATTTCGAATACAGCGTCACTCAATATTGCATATTGAACATTGCTTCTCGGAATAATAACTCTGCAAATTTTTTCGTTGTCTAATTAGACTATCTAATTACTCATTTTTTCTGTTTTCCAAGATTTCGAGATTACATACCATGTATTTTAGAATTGTTAATATTTCATATTATAAATATTTAGTTTGAAATGAGCCAAAAGCTAACAGATACTATCAAAGAATCATCGTACATTAGGTCCTAAAATATTTTTCTGAATGGCTGAAACTTAGTTAACAATTCATTTTCATAAAGAAAGTAAATACTTCTTTTCAGATTCTGAATGATTCAAAAAAAAAATGTGTATTTATATATGTTCTTCGTGTTCCCGATAGCATATTTTGAAATTTTAAAGGTCACTGTAATTGTTTGATGAAATGATCTTAAAAAATAATTGCTCATGCAACCATGTCTGATTTATGCCTGACTTCAGTTTAAGTCTCATTTGAATCTTCCATTTCACTAATGACTCATTCTTTAAGTTGTTATTAAGTGGAATTAATTGGAAAAGAACCGACGTATGTAAATTACTCGCGTATCATGATTACCGAAAAACAGCATACATGTACGATTAAATTTTTTTCAACGTAGTTGGAAATTTTCCAGAAAAGAAAGTCTCCACCAAAGAATTATCTAGAAATGTTGTACTATTTTTTTTCAAATTGGGATAAATTTTAAAATTTTTAAAAAATGCAATCATAACTTAATAAATAATAGTTGCAGGATTTCGCATGTGGACCAGTGATCGAAACACCACTTCAGGAAACACTGCAGGTAAGAGAAGGTGAAACGATATCGTTCCTATGTAATGTTTGGGGTGACCCTATGCCTACAGTACAATGGCATAAAAATGAGTTGACCTATCGGTTCCTGCATTGGAATGATGATCGAATTGTAGTAGAAGCTATTACATCCAGCAATGGAACATATCATTTGATGCATATTCATGAAACGATACCTGGAGATGAGGCTACTTATTGGTGCAGAGCTACCACAGGTTTTCTCACCACTACAAAGCGTTTCGATCTACGAATTAATTCAATTAGGCGATTAAATAGAAATGAAGAAGAGGAACAATCATTTATATCAAATGCGCCCGATATCTTCAAAACATTTTGGGGAGAAACTGAACAATGGGAACGAATTGTACTGCAAAACTGGCCCATATGGCAATTAATGTTTGTTATTATATTACTCGCTACAATAATATTCTTTGTTGCTTGTATTCTCGTGCTTATTCGTTGGTATCGCATTCAGAATCACTCTGATCATTCCCAGTCAAAAGAAGCAGAAACGCTCGAGATAACGAAAACAACAACGCGTTCAACTTTGGCAATGGCAACAATGCAAGATGAATTCACTGAGCTATTGCAAATACAAAAATCAAAATCACAACTATTACAAAAAGATCAAGTATCAAGAAGTGCTAATGAATTAATTCGAAAAGCACCTCTGGCACAATACGATCGTGATACTTCTATATTGCCATTTATACAAACTTCTTTATAATTTGTGCAAAATTTACATAATTATGAAATCCTTTATTTTATGGATCATCTCTTTGGCATTCTGTATTTTTTATCCTAATTTTTTACATGTTGATTAGCTGTAGCGCTAATACTTACATATATGATATTGTCTAAGCAATACAATAAAAATGAATGATAAAGAATCATTCATTATGCAAGAATAGGCTTGATAGTAAAGTATTCATCAAATTGAAAATTTGTAAATTGCAGTTTTGAGTTGTTAATAGCCAATCGAACATTAAATTTTACATATAGAAATGGACAATGAAGAATAGCTTTAGTTGAAACAGTTTTTTTAATTTTCCTTTTTTATTTTTTAAACAAAGCTTGTAAAAAATAAATTAAGAAAACGATTTTAATAATGTAAAAATTTTCTTGTTATTTGGCTGCAACTTTTAAAAGAGATCAAGTTGGCACGAGTTTTGGAATCAAGTAAATAAGAAAAATATTATAGCAAGTGACACTGCATTATAGAGGAGACGGTCACTATCGGTCAGTGCTTGACCCATAGGAAAATCCGAAAACTTATGATATTAAATTAATCACATTAGTTGAAATTTGCATAATTGACAATTAAATTTAGGAAGCTGTGTTTCGTAATTTCTCTTTTTGCATTTTTTAATTATATTTAACTTGTCATCAACAATTTGTCATTGTTAACATTAATTTCTTGTCATATGACTTCTTTGTCTTGTTAAGTCATTAAGAGCTTGCTTTAACGCCTTTGCTATCATTGTTCTTTGTCTCTTATGTAACCTATGCAGCTAACAAGTAATTCCATAAATCTCTTTGTTCTTCCTTCCCCAACATGACATTGTCCTGACCCTGGGGTTATCTATTAAGCTCACTACTATTATCTTCTTATCCACCACACTGTGAAATGGTAAATACCAGGAGGTGGGCCATCCTTTTATCCATTTCAACATCTATCCGTTTGCTTGCAACTGTCTTTAAATTAGGTAACTGCGGGATTTGAGCATCATTGTTAATTTTGGCAGCTTTATGCACAGCCAACTTCAGTCATTGTCGTCAATCTATCTATACTATCCAACAAACTGCGTTTGTTGGCGTAGTCACTACATCAAATTCAACAGATTCTAGACTAAGACTTAAACTAACGAATCCAAATCCAGTCCATCAGATCGTAATCTAATAGAACGATCAACTCTCACCTCAAGAAAACACAATTCTTTCACCCTCCTCAAAGCACACATAAACTTTCACAACATAGGATAGAAGTTAAGGATTGACTCTAAGAAGAGAAGGGCTTTTCTAACTACTGGCTAAGTATTAAACTTGCATAAGTTATTACAGATTTTCCATTATCACTGAAAACCATTGTCTTGTATTTGATGTGTGTTATATCATCAGTGATATCATTTGTACTTTATGCCTAATTGCTATTTACTTATTCATTTACACTCGATAATGCAGATGCAGAGGTAACATCCAAAATTTAGCAACACATTTAGCTAAAAAATTTGCTAAAGCACATAATATGACTGTTCGAGAAGAGATGAAGATGAAATCAGTCAACGAAAGTGTTTATCACCATATAAAACAGCAATAAATAAATTTATTTCTCTTTTGTCAAGACATGCTGCTTTTTGTTGATTCGTATTTTGATAATAAAGTTAAAACTTACTGTGCACGGCGCAATTACTTTTATATCAATCTGATATTAAATTCCAAATATGTCACTTTTCGTTTGTCGATGATGGCTTCTTATTTGAAATAAACGAATTTAAAGTATTTTTAAAAAGAACACTTTCAATTGAGTTTATTTACAATTCACAACAAATCCTTTAAAAGCACTTGGTCTTCAATACACAACAACACATAATAGAATTATTGTATTGAATTGGAAATATTAGGACAAAATTATAACATTAATCAGTCGTCATATCATTAGCGTGATGAAAATAATGCATGACAAGTACGTAATTATAATTTTTTAGATTTTACAGAACTCTGAATGTGATTGGTTTTTCCTTTTATTGCAGAAAGATAGCAGTTTTCGAATTTCCTTTCCAAAGGTAATATTGAAGGAAAAACAGTCAATATTCCCTTGAAGTATTGGCCATTATTGATAAATTTGAATTTTTTTCATATTGAATAAAGATGCCTACATTTTAAAACACTTTTGTTACGTTTTTTTTTTTCAAGCAATATGAGCTAATTTATTTTCATAATTCTAGCCAAACATAAAGTCTCGAAAAAAAAAGCCATTAGATAAAAATAAAGCGATATCAATAATCTACTGTAAGTACAAAAAAATTTATATTAGTTGCGGAGAAAAGTAACATTCAGTTACACTTAACAATAAAATTAAAAGCGTTAATTCTATTAAGTTACCAATGAAATATCGTATCACATGCCCTTTCGATCACTCTCACGTGAAATGACCAATTTTTCATTTGTTCAAAAAGTGACATTTGTTCAGAACTGTCAATAAAATTCAAATAAAGGTGTACCATTTTCTGCCTATTTTCGCTTGAATAAACGTTTTTTCAAAAGAAAAGTGGATTATTTGAGTCATGAGTAGCTATTAGAAGATTCAACGATATGGCTAATGAGACTTATCTTTGCTAACTGTAATATCGTTAGTTATGGAATTTCTACTGAAATGAACAAAAAACATCGGAGGACCGCAGTTTGAAATACTTTTATCTTAAAAGTCTTCGTTTTTTTTTACCGAGCATAAGTTACGGTCAATTAAAAAAAACTAAGCAAACGAAATTCACATCAATTCGTATGAAGTAAATACCTGGAACAATTTCGACAATCGCATTAGTTTTTGGTAATTCTGATAATTCTACTTATCCTCAGTAAAATTCATAGAATGAGAATGTTACTGTTCGACTATAACAATACAATTCTTGAATGGAACAAAAATAGGAAGTTAGGATTTAGCTATTGGACACATCTTTTTAACTTATGTCTATTGAAATTAGAGTACCACGACCATATTATTTGCTAAAATTTGTGTCTGGTGATGGATGAATGTTGTTGTACATAATTATTGACATACTCTATTTGTCAATTTTTTCTCTTAAATTATATCCTTATTTGTGACGTAAAGAGCATGTGTGAGTAAGTAACTGTGCTAACATCATGCTGTCAAATATTATTTTTAGAGGCTTATTCAGTAAATAAAAGAATGAATTGCCTCTGTATTCGTTTTTGTCCGATAATAACGAAAGTAACGTTTGCTCCTATATTTAATTCAACTTATAATAGACTAATTTGAAGCTATATGATAAATTGAATAAGTTTTCTAACTGTTTTTTTCACTCTATTGAAATTACTTAAATTATTGTTTCTAAATTGCATTCATATTTCTTCAAGTTATTAAATATAAAAGGATAGTGTAAAAATTGTCGCTAATAATTGCAATTGCAAGAACAATAAAACAGCTTTGGTATGAATAAATTTTTACGGGTAAGAATGCATGCAAAATAAATTGGGTGATCTCGACTCATTACTAACATTACTATTTCCTATTTAGAAAATATTTAACAGCAGTAATGATCATTTCTTATGTCCATAATTTTTCGGCTGCATAGATGATGGAAGACTTTGAAAATTTTAAGTCCACGAAGTAACTAGGAATTATGATTTTGTCTTCCAAAGGATAAGTTACATTTTTCAAAAATTTGAAGACAGCTTAATGCGGCATTATTTTTGAAATATTTGGAACTTCAATTCGAAATTAGAATTTCTCCCTTTAAATTTATTGTTTGAAATATCAACGTTTTGTTTGTTATCACAACTGGTGTAATGTTTGCTTATCCATTTTCTATTTATGAAGTGATCATCGAAAACACTCATATTTTGTGTATTTTATTACATTTTATAATAACTTATTAATAGAGAGGAGCAAAAAGCTTAAGGACTTATGAAATCACATCTTTAATGCATAGCCTTGCTATTAACGTTAAGTGTACATTCATGCCAATCAAATATAATTACACCTTGAATAATAAAGGCATTATAACCCGATATTTCATTCCAGAAAGTTAACTGATAGATAAATCGGCTGTTCACTGCCGCTCTTTTTTCAAAGCATACCATCTCAAAATATTTTTTATCGTTCTACTATCTCAAAATCGAATTAGAAGAAACAAGATGCAAATGTTTGGAATGGAATACAGTGAAAGGATTACATAACCAAATTTGTGATTATATTTCCGTCATGCTTTAAACATTTTAGATGTCAAATTAATGATTATATGAAATCGTAACTCGTTAGAAGTAAATATTTTTTTACTTTCCTGGAGTGAACATCTTGTTAAAAAGTGAAAAAAACAATCGTCATGAGAATGTCATAGCAATGCATCGATCAATTTTAACTTTTTGTACTTTCAATCTTCATGTATCACTATGAAAGAAATTCTAAAGCACCGTAACTTCGAAACATCACGGCATATTTTGAGATGTCTCATGATTGTGAAAAATACCTCGTTACGGGATATCTTAAAGATGAGGAATGCCTCATCATGTCAACTAATATACGCTGTCACTCGTAAGATCCTATTCTGCAATTTTTTTTTATTGCATCATCGCTCAATTAATCAGAGTAATTGCAACTATTTGAAATCTCAAATTTCGCTCGTTTTAGAGTATTTTAATTCATACTTTAAAGAATGTCAACATATAAACTCTCTTAACAAGTATTCCCACCACAATTATACTGTATCCCTTCACTTTCCTATCTACAATCACCAAAACCTTCCAACTATCATATCCCATCACATACCTGCCTACTCGCTTATATCTCAAAACTTTCATTGAAAATATCGCGGCTTATATAATATCGATATGAAACACAGTAAGTCCCGATTAATTGCTTTTATATGAGAGAAGTTTGTTAGCGGTATGTTGGTTAAATGATGAGAATGGTTGACCGGTGAATCAATATTTAAAGGCGATATCCGATACTGTTAGATAATACCTCATTCTTTATAGTATCTGATAGGACCGTGACACATCTGAGTTCATCTGCTCTCCAATCCCTCTTTAACATGAACTCCAACACTTACTCTGTTGAATGACCGTAATGGTCACAATGACCTAATGAGTAGTGCCTTACTGGATTCTCTTTGACTGTCCATTAAAAGAGATTAAAATTCAACTCATTATAACCTTTCTGCGGTATATCTTTTGAGATCATGTCGCGAAGTTATATGGGTCAAGTTGCTATTAGAATACATTTATGGGAGTGCTGTTTGTAGCAACCTTTTATGATCATTATTAAATTTTACACTTGCACCTGCAAGCTGAATGGTGTTGGAAAAGGGTGACAATTTCAACTGCTTAATCAATCAGATCAGCATGCCCACATCGATTTACTTGGAATCTTTGGAAATATGCCCCATGTACCTCTATACTTTCAATATCCCGCCCTGATAATTTATTTAAGTTGAATTTTTTGGATGATCATTCATCATTAGCTGAAGAAAGATGATCTAATTTGTCGAAAAAATTTAGAAACTTTTAGAATATGATTTGTATTCCATGTACTTTACCGCGTAATATCTCCCTAATGACGTGATTTACCACTGTACATAATCGGATTCTATTTCGATACTGTCACTTCGATGCATCTGTTTAGTTTCTCGAGTGTTGCAAGTTCATTTCTGTTACTTCAATTGGAATAGTTTTTCTTTAGATTTCTATCTTTACTAGCTGAACACCGATTGAATTGCTTCCGTTCATACCTGAAGTTATGTAACAAGACTTGATGTTGTAATTTAATTAATTAGAATTTAGCTTATGCCATGCTATGATATGCTGGAAAAATAAAATACTTCGATGGGCTTGATGTTTTAAGCCGATATGAAATGTGGGATGAATCAAATATTTCAGCAGGGGGATCCTTTACTTCATGCTATCTTTGCACAGTAATTTAATTAATTAGAATTTAGAAAATCTGTGTAGAAATTTCCCTGGAAATAAAATATGTGTGCTTTGACCTTAAAATTGAACAATTAACAATGGCATTATTAAAGTTGTACATCTTTAATTCATCAAATCAGGCATTCGAAAATATCATCATCAACGTCTGTTGTTCTGATAATAAAATAGGCTTAAAAGACACTTCGGAGAGTGAAAGAGAGAATTAAGTAATAACAAAATGAAATATGGCTAAATGGAGAAAAAAGTTTTTCCATATTTCTGTTACTAATGCTTTTTAGAATAGAAAGATATTTACATGTAGTGAAGGAATATAGCATAGCATTGTGAGTGATAAAATTATCGGTAACCATTTGAAGCAATAAGTATTTAAGATACAAATGGTTGCTATAAAATGAGTTGATATCCATATCTCCTGGTGTTTGTGTTGGTGCTTAATCTAACGCGATATTATGTAGCTCTTTGTAAGCAACTTTTGAATTCTTACTTTTTATAAGAAGATTGATTTTCTGCGCGTTGTGGAATCTACTGCTATAGCTAGAGGTTGAAACAAAGTAATTAACGCACTATGTGTGTTTAATTAGATGTTGCTGGAATTTTTACATTGCATATTAGAGAACTTGCTTATAATTACTTTTTTTCGTATTGGGATTTTATCTGGATTTTTATTTGTATTCAACTCAAATTTGTTTTTAATGATTTATTATTTTCGAATTTTAAATGATTTATTAACGAGGTTCGCAAACAGAAATTTTTTAGGAGTCGATGGCTAAATTATCAATGAAGAAAATGATAAAGCAGGGCAAATACTATTGAAGTGGATCTCGGAGGAAAATAAGTGACAATAGAAAGCCACCGTGAAGTGTTTCATTATTCTTTGATCTGGTTGCTAACAAACTACATATAAGCTATTATCAGTTAAATATCCACTACTGTTCCTTCTCTATACTTCAGAACTAAGTTCAGATTGTTCTCTAGATTCGTATAAACTTCATTTCTGAATTTTTATTATAATCTACAACTTCGTTTTTTGTTATGCTGCCTGCTGCTGTTGGCATACTACATATAGGCTATGTGTCGGCTGATGAATTTACTCTGTCACACGTCAGATAATCACATTTTATAAATGTAATTTAAAAGGTAGAATGTTTTAGCTATCTATTCCAAGTTGACTAAGCTCTTAGCACAAAACAGTGTTTAGAGCATAACACCCTCATCATGTTTACGGGCTAATGTAATATTCTTCCCTCTCTGTCACATCATAATGAGGCGCAATAGGTTTAGTGATGAAATGTAACGCTGATTGGATATTCATTTAAGAATTTTGAGCAGATGAATTCTGTTTGACAAAAGATTCTGAAATATTAATTCAAATTGCATATTTGATCGCTAAATCTCTTGCCGACGATCATCTTAGTTTCCTGCTTGGTGACATACACACACACACACCCACACACACACACATACACACACACATACACGCACACATACACATACAGAAATACATATGAGACATCATTTGATTTTTTCGCATGTCAGCGCGTATATGAATGGAATGCCATCAAATTTTAAAATGTAGCAGTTTTGCGTCAGAACTTTCGATTAGAGGAAGGGAAGAAATATATGAGTGTTTTCAGTATGCAATTCTTGAGATATGAGTAAGAGGTTGTATGTGGTGAAGCACTGATGAAAATAAAACAGTTAATATGATAAAAGTGAGCTTGAGGAAGATGCGCGCTACTGCGTGGAATGAATATACTGTCGTGAAGCACAAAAGAGAAGCGTGTATTGGAATGGAATGAAATTTGATAGATGACAGTGATAGGCCTTATAAGGCTTCGAAAAGAATTAAAGAGGGGGAGTAACAAGCATAACTGCTATTGACTTGCATTCATCTGGAAAAGGAAGACAATGGAGAGTAAGTAACGGATGAGGGGTTAGTTAGAAGGAAAGCCTAGCGATATAGCTGGAAGGAAGGATTGTCTGGATGATGCTAATGATAGAAGTCCAGGAGGGGAAAAGGATTGGAAAAGAGAAGCATAGCAATAGGGTAGGGAGCGGGGTGAAGGCTTGCTTGGTTGTGGGGGGATTGCTGCCAGCTACACTTGGAAGCTTGCAATGATGCAAGACTAAGTCGATAACACTTTTTTTTTCACCGCAATCATTTTTCCTTCCGTTTTGTTGGTAATAGATTGACTGATCTACCGCTCACAAATCCAATTCTATCAATACAGTTTATTATGCATGACAGCTCATATGTTTCAAATAATCTCCAATGAAAAAGTATATAGTTTGTTTTGTGTTCAAACTTACGTTCAAACTACATAATTTTTCATTGGAGATTATTTAGCATTTAGATAAGTTAGCTTAAGGATGGATCAAGTTGACCTATTGATTTGCACTATTTTTTGCTTGAATTATAAACATAAGATTCGTCTAATGTTAATAGAACAGTGTATTTAGTATCTTTGATCCACATTGCAAATATCACCATATTCATTCTTCTGGATTCACAGTTTTCTTATTGTATTGAAACTGTAAAGAAAGAACAACCTCCCACTTTCTCTTTGTCTTTTTTGACACCTTTTTCTATCAGGATCATAAACCTTTTCGATACAATCTTGGGAATAATTTACAATTTTATTGATTGTTCTTATAGATTTAATGCAGAATAGGTATTCAGTTTGGCTTTTGTATGCAGATTTATTTAGTAAATGCAGGAACCGAAAAATGTCTTTATATGAAATATTTAAAAGATCAGCTTTATTGTCTGATGTCGTATCAAAATAAGTTTCATGTGATCAGAGAGATAACGTTGGGTGTTTTGCACCCTATGCGTCGTTTATTATTTCTGTGGAAAACTGACGAGTTAACAATTTTCAGTTGATTACTTCCTAACAGAACAGCCGGTTACAGAAATGATAAAGAGAACAACACGAACTACTGATGTGCCAAAACTGCGCAGAAATTTAAAAGGACGCGGTCGTATTGCAGAAACAGTGTGCTGTGGGTTAGTAGGATTGGATATATTTGCATAGTCGCCAACATAGTTCATGCTCTGGATCATTTTTGTCTCTATGATGCAGTAAATTGACTTTTAAGATTTCTGTATTTTCAATCGTATCAGTTAATTGCGGAACAGTTTTTTTCACGTATGATGATGCATAGAATTGTGTAGTTCCAGGTTGCCTCTGGCCCGAGACATGCACCGCTGATGGTATGCTGCTGCTTCTCCACCACTTCTAACATGACACTTTACAGACATTTTGGTGGATTCGCGTACGTGAAATTTGTATTGTTGTGGCTCAGTTGTATTGCGCTTGATTTATTGATCGGGTTCCGTTTTGAGTTATTATATCCGGTTTGGTTACTTATGCGCAATTGCTACGATTCATTTCGATTCCAGGGTCTCGTTAGCTCATTGCAATATTCTGTACGTTTCTTATCCATTTTTATAATTGTTACAGCCACCAAAATGAGTGCATCAAAAATGTTTTAGTTGAATTTTAAGTTTTTTTTTAAAACTATTAACTTCAGGCTTTTTCTGCATTTTTTGTATGTGCGACAGTAACAACGGATCTTATATGTTTTATATTTCTTCCTGTTCAGCTGTTATTCTTCCTTGCAAGTACATATGTGTGGTTTCTTCTGATTTGGCAGACAGGTATAAAAAACTCATGGAATGCATTTTCGACATTATTCTTATTGAATTCAATAATTTTAAATCTCCTCCTTTCATCGTATTCGACCATTCGAAGTTCTTAAAAACTGAATCATATTTATAGCAGAACGAGGCATCGGTTCAACTCATTTGCTGTTGTGGATCGCTGCAATATCTTTCGAATATAATTGGCGTTATCGAGGAGATTCGCCGCTTCAGTTATTAAAAGGTTCGACGCTTGGGTCAGCACTCAATTTTCTTACTGGTAATGTTTTCAGAAACGAAGTTTTTTGCCTTTGTTATAATAGCTTACAAAAAGCTGGTAATTCTTGTATTTCGGATATTGAATTTAAATTTTGTCAAACTAATTGTATCATTGCTTAAACTAAGATTTCAGGTGGTTTGTTGACAAACTGGCTGGAATTTCATGATTTATCAACCAACGGTGAAATGGTTGCAAGTGATTCTTCCAAAGAATGCTATCCGCCAGCACGATTTGTTAATCCTATTGATAGTTTTTTGGGTGGTTTTGGTGTCGCGTTAATGGCAGCTTTTGCACACAGTTCTTCATTTACTTCCGATATCTGCCGTCCCTTTGCTGCACATTGCATTGGCTACCCAGTCGTCATGCTTGGATTTGGTCTCAAAACTTATTTCAAGTATGAGATTCTTTGATAGTTATTTTGAAAACGTAAATGTTGTCTCATATTTCAGGTTTGTGTGTCAAGTATTTGATCGCATATTGATCAATATCGAGGTTCTATCACTCTTGTAAATTAATTGCCCACATACTTATAATCTGATGTTAATTTATGACAGAAAGATATAATAACCTTTTTGCAGACTTTGGAGAGTTAAAAGACGCCAGCGCGAAGTATCACTTGCCAACGAAGTATATTGTAAGCTTTTAATAGAGGCATTACCTTCATTATATGAAGGCCCGAAAATATATTCGCAGTGTAGTGGCACAGTATTACAGGATCAGGAACAGATAGGTCGCTTTCTTTCTGCATTTAGTCTAATTCGCGTTTGTTGCATAGTTTTTACAAAGTTATAACCCTCACTGATGATTTGAGTTGAGAAGCGTTTTAGAGGGAAGAATACTAAACATAGCACATTTGTTTGTTTTTCTACAATGTATCAGTCGTGAAAGTGATCAATAATTCTTAATATAACATCCGGCAGTTTGTAAGTAATACATAAGCTGCAGAGTTTTTAATATTGCATAGTTTTTACAAAAAAAAAAGATGTTCGAGCATATATGATATGTGCTTCAATCTATTTCTTTTGAGAATGTTAGTGAGTCAAGAACGAATTAGTTGTATCTCTTTATGGATTTAAACTTTTTCGCATATTATATTGTTTTTATTTTTACTATATCTTATATATACACAAAGTTCGGCAAGATAGTAAGATATACGCGTTTTACATCTTACTCTATCCATTTTTTTTAGAGTATGAATCCGAACTTTGTCCTGGCTCGTTACAAAATTTAGCTATTTGCGCATCATCTTCATCAACCACCATAACACAGCGGAAGAACTCACGTGTTGGAGCTGGTTGGAAGCAAAATAGTTGGAAGCATACAGGCATTAATCCGAAAAAAGTTCCTGTTCCTTCAAATGGGTCTTTATCAACGCGGAAGGAAAGAGTGGTAAGAGAAAATAACGATGATGATGATACAGCTAGTTCTGGTTCGTTAGTAATAACATATTTCAGTTTTTTTATTGTGCTGCTAAGAAAAGTAATTGACAACCCCTGAGTTTTGAAAGCAAGCTGCTGAACTAATTTTCCTCGTTGTATCAGAGAAGTTTTAATTTTCTATTAAAAATTAATAGTGATTAAGTCGACTAGTTTTGCAATTTAATCTTTTAATGCTGAATTACTTCCGAATTCTTAAACATTTCCTTTATTAGTTAATTTCGGCTAAAAATAAGCATACAGTAAATCATAACAACTAATTTTTGTGATATGATTGCTGCAGTTGCTTAGAGAATTATTCATTATCAGAAAATTTATAGAGTGGGCGGGAAAAAACTCAATTTTTTGCTCTTCCAGTGGCATAGTTTTTCTTCAAAAGTTGAGGAAAGGTAGAAAGTATATGAAAATTGTCGCGTTACAACTTTTATTCTCACAGTTGCGATTTTTACAGTGTCGTTATCGGTAGCACCGAAAATGTATTTGTGGCGCGTGATATGGGATTTACTTTGGAGTATAATGTTGTACATATTGGGTGGTGTTGTTGAGTCGCCATCATCATCCTTAGATGATCATATATCATTGTCCTCGAATGAAATGGAAAGCGAGGATGAAATGATGGAGCAGGAAGAAACTTCATCTCAACCGGATGATGCTTCACCAAGTTCTAATCGTTTAGGATCTATTCATCGACATGCAAATAGTTCCAAAAAAAACAAAGGTACTTTTTTATATTAAACGATTGCAAAATTTTTCGAAAATTCATGGAGAAAAAGCGGCATGTAAGATTTTCGAAAACCCGTTTACATTTTAGTGTTAATTTCGAGTTCGGGAAACTATTCTCGAGCAAAAGGCAGACGTTCACGGGGGCGTCATTTACAAAACCATACTGGCTATATCTTGTCGCCATTGGCACCTGGAGCTGCGTTGTCATCATCTACACTGGGTGCTAATTGTGCATTAAATAATAATTTATTGAATCTGGCAGCTGGTAGTATACAGCAAGATAGACAGATGTACAATTCTGCTAGCAATACGGGTTATCAGAACATGTCGATTACCAGTGTTAATGTTGTTGAGAGTGGTGGTTCGTCTACAGGCAATGCTGCTACGTTCAGTGGGAAGGCCAGTGAATATGAGTTAGTTCCGTAATAATTTCTTGTTTTTAATTTAGATTTTTATTCATAACATTTAGTGTAATTCATATATGCTGCAAAGAATTAGTGATATCGTCGATTTTCTTCGCTGCTTCCATCTTATCTCACTTAATTCATTTAAAAAATGGCAGCAGTCATTTCTAGTTCGAAATGAAGTTTCGTATATAGATTTAAATTCACATACTTCCAAACATCGAAAGAGATTGGCAGGGCCTATAGATCTGATGAGTGAGTTAAACACCTTTAATACAAGTTGGCGCAATCTGATTTTTTCTAATGGAACATTATGGAATTGATTATATACTATATATTTTTTTAGTACTGAAGAACTGCTGGAAACATTGCGTAATGATCTGCGAGTGGCACGATCACAAGAAACGGAATTACGGTACATGCTGCAACAGTATATCAATGGAGAAAAGCAGTTGAAGGGAGAATTACAACAGTTAAAATTGAAGCATGAGCAAAGTGAAAACAGGTTAGTTTCCATATAAAGCATTTGCTGACTTTTGAACTTAAAGTGAAATTTCATTTTCCATTTTTCTTTTTTTAAAAATTGCAAAACGATGATTTTTTTAGGCTTACAAATATAATGAAAGCACGCGAGCAGGACAAATCATCGATGCAATTGCTAGAAAAGAAATTAATTGATATGCAAACGAAAAAGAGTGAATTAGAAAAAGAATTAAATGCAGAGAAACGTAGCAAAATTAAAGAAGAGCATGCTGCTGCACGTGCATTAGCTGCAGCGCAATCAAATAAGTATGTCGCTAACTGTAACTAGTGTATGAATTTACCACTAATTTTTACAATTCATTTTTTGTAAAACGGCGAGGAATTCATTGCCACAATAGTCGGAATATTTAGTATATCTCGTAATGCTGCAGCTATATATTCTTATAAGGAAAAGCGTATATTTCCAGCTGTTAGAATACTCTCAGTAATTAAGATATTAATCAATCTTTCTAGACTAGAATAGTAGTGCTTTCAGTTTTATCATTTTCTTCTGTGAAAAATTCTATATTACCTTTGTAGAACTGTTGAATGTAGTGAAGCATGCAAAACAAAGAAGGCTGATTTGGAGAAAGAATTGCGAACCCTTCGACGTGAATTGAAGGCTAAGGAGGAACTTGCAAATGAGCGTGAAGAGGAGCTGCGACAGTTACGTCAGTATAAAGAAAGCAATGATTTGCAGGTTTGTATTAACTTATGAGTTGTAAGAAATATCTCTCTGGTGGCCTTCCATTACGGTACAATTATTATGCACATATAATTTGTTATCGAATAAAAAATTTTAACGTCGCCAACTAATTCAAGTTGCATACTATATATTGATTTCAAGAAATTAACCTGGCAAAATTAATTTTGTTAATAGTTTTTTATGCTTCAACAAATCCTGGGAAGTGATCAGCCGTATTTTAGGAGCTGCATGCTACACTTACAGTTATTCGTGACAAGAACATCCATTTAGAAAAGTCACTGTCAGCAGAGAATCGACTAAAGCAGAAATTATTTTATGCTTTAAATGAGGCACGAGGACAGATGGCTGATTATCAGCGTAATTTTCTAATTTTTAATAATTTTTGAATGCTGTGAACTGGTAAAAGAATAAGCTGTTGACGTTGTATGTATTGTCTCGGTGTGCTTATACTTACCAAGATAATTATTAATAGCTGATTCTGCAGAAAACAAACTAGCATAATATGGCCTTACCAACAAGGGTTCTTATTCTTAAGTTAACTGTTCGAAAATTAAAGCTGGAAACTATGAGTGTTGTATTATTTGATCGTGAAATATTTGCAGAACAGCTACTTGCAAAGGAAACAGAGTTGCATCTAAAAGATGTTGAATTAATTAATCTGCGAGGACGGTTTGGAAATAGTACAGACGATCCGTCAAAGTTGCCACCTACTGGAGATAACCGAGGATCGGTATACTTTTTTTATTTAAATATATCAACTGACTAATATAGCACACTGCAAAAAAAATTTGCTGCTAAAACTCATATTTAAATAATATATGTTATTATTTTAAGTCGTATGGATCATAGCTTTCAAGTAAATAACATTTCAATTGTTTGAAATGTAAACTGCTACTTTTTAGCTCTCAGTAAAAACGACACGCTGTGGTCCTACAAGTAGTGCTGTTTTGTCACCCGTTGTTAGTGATATTAGCGGCATTCTGAAAACGCATGTAACAACAGAACAGGACATTTTCATCAGTGCAAGCAGTGCTTACATGTGAATCCTATTATTATCATACTTACATTTAATGTTTAAACGAATTGTCGTCCATTACTACATTTCAGTAGGTGATAACACTTCACACTGCATTTTCAGATTAAGAATGTCAGGTAGAGTTATATATGCGATCAGATTATGAAAAATGTCTGTAACTGACTGCAAATAATCTAACTTCCTGCATTTGGTCACTTTTTTTGCCAATTTTTGCCAACTTTACCAAAAAATTGTCCTATGTTTGCTCAAACTATTACTAATTTAAAATGCTGGCCATTTGATGTTCGTTTGTTTTATAATTATATATATAACATTTTTAGGCCATATACATTTACTGCACATTCTCAGGATGAGCATTCTTTATTTGATAGTGCAGTCACGCGTTCTGCCTCTACAGTACCACCAAATTCAGTGAGCCCACCACCGCCATTGCGCCTATCCAATGTTAGTTCAGATCCTTTCCGTCTCACAAACAGCAAATTCAGTCCAACGTCGACTCACAGCACTTCTCCAAGAAATTCCTGAGCTATTTTGTTTTTGGAAACATCGACTGAAGTCCATTTGAATGCTTGTTCCGGTTCATTTTTCCGTCATGTATGGGTGTAATTTGATTTTTTTTCAATGCTTCCGTGAGATACGTCTTTGTTTGTACAATGAATAGTTCTTCCGGTGAAGAAAAATGCGACATGTTCTAATGTTATGATTCAAGTACAGTGAGATCCTACTCGGTGCCAATCTTATTGTGGTCATTGTTGTAGCCAAGTTTTACTCTTCTTTTGGATTCTGTGACTAATTTATAAATGTGCATTTGCATTGGAACTCGAAAAATTATCTTAGTAATATTTACGACCTTTGCTCCATCTTGTTTTTTTTCGTGACTTTGTTGATGTCTTTTATTTTGAAGCTCACGCATTTTGGAACTTTCTCCCCTCAACTCGCCCCTCATCTACTTTTTTAACTAAGAGTTTTTGCTTCAGTTTTGAATGCGTGTACAAGACTCTGTTCGGTGGCATTCTGTTATAAAGTGATTCACTACACAAATTGCGAATGCCATAGAAATATGAACATAGATCTACATAGTAGTTGAAGTTTGTTGGGATTCATAGGGAATACTGAATATTTCGATATCTCTAATGACTGCTATGCTTATCATTTGTCTCAAGATCGTTTTCCTCGAGCTATTGTTGTTTCATGTGAGCAAATATATTTTAGTTGATATTTGTTTGTATTCGCTTATCTCCACCTAATCCTGATAACCATTTCATTTTTTTTTTCGTACTGAGCTGTGCTCACTTCATTTTTTTAGTGTTTTTCTTTTGGTTTCTCTTGCGGATCTCTCCTTACGGTTCATTGTTAAAATATGTGACTGTTTTATTTTGGTTCAAATCTTTCTCAGAGGCATAATTTGCTGTCATGTCTTACCGTTTTTTCTTTTAATTGGCACTAGTTTGTCGCACCTTTCCTCTTTATGGTATAACAAAGCCAGCTAAAACCCAAATAGTATATACATTTGATTGTATTATGTATAGTTTTAATTCGCTTGCACTGAAAAAATATTTTCTTCCATTCCTAAGCAAATAAGAAAAATTCTAGAACATCTTAAGAGGTGTCAGGAAAGTATACAAGAAAAGAATTAATGCAGAAAAAAGCTGAAGCACACTCAACACCACCATGAAAATATTCTTTAAATTATCTCACAAAGAAGAATTAATCTAAGATTACTGCCTTTCCTTAATACAGTTGGTGAATTTGGAATCGATCTGCCGTTATGAAAATAAGCATTCATCTTTGGGTTTGCCAATATTTTCACTTCACAGAGACAAGGATCGATTTTCAGAGTATTATTCTGCAAACATGTAAGAATATTATTTTGAAACTTTTTATAATGAAGTCAGTTATGATCAATGATCAATGATGCTGCGAAATCATAAATTTGTTGATTAATCTTTTCCAACGCCGTTATTTTTGCTTCCAAGGATTCCACTGTTTTTGGATCTAGGGTCTCCACACCTTCCATTGCTTTTACGTCTTCAGCAATGTATTCACAGTGCTGTTCATTGTCGGTTGACGCATTAACCCGGATCTGAATAAGACTTAAGCTCTGATATCTTATTAGGCTATAACTTACAGCTAGAGACCAGTAGTTCCCAATTTTGACCTGCCATTTCTAAATGTATCATTGACTTCTACTGAAGTCATATTCATGAGCAAATTCATGAGTAAAAAGGAAAAAAAAGTGCAACTAGTAGAATTAAATGTCGATTCTGTACAAAGAGACATAAAGGATTATATTATGGATTAAATGCTTACTTCCACTTTAGCATAATCAGATATGACCCTATCTAGATCTCGAACACAAACTTCGTCCTGGAAAAAAGTATTTATATAACATGGGTTTTATCTTTCCAGAAATCATGAGCAAAGTGCCGACTTTTAAAATATTTTTACAGCGAACGAAATAAATTAAAAACTTTTTCAATGGATATCCGATCCTGCAACAATACAAGCGCAGGTAATTTTCTTTCTTTCTGTCGTTTGAGATTAGAAATAGGGGATGTTTGCTTCTTTTTGTCGCTTTCTGCCGCAGCTTTCCATCGCATATTAAACTTCAATTTGCAAATGGGTCCTTAAACAATATGTGTAAGAGATGAACAAGGGAAACTTGGTTAGCATTTCGTGAAATATACCTTTTAAAGATGATGTTTTCAAACACTGCCGACTTGAAATGTCCCAAATCATGTAAACACCGCAGACATCACCGGATGCCAGCAAAGAGCCATCATGATTTACGTCCAACTGTGCCAGTTCTGCTGAATGACCCTTGAACTGTGACAAATTTCCGACAGTTTCTTCTCCAATTACAACCGATACTTCTGTTTTGTTCTGAAAGATCAGAATAAATCTTTTTTCAGTAATTCCTGAATCAATTTCTTTTGTGGACATACCAAAGTATAGAGATTTAACTGCACTAAAGATCCATCGACTGCGCCCAAAAACAATCGACACTCAGCGGGATCAACTGCACAAGCTGATAAGGCTATGTCACATGAAATCTAAATATCAAGCCAATTAATGATTGTATTTGTTGAATGAACCATACGATGAAACTAAACAATGAATGCAAAAACGCCAATTCTTCAAATGAGTAAATCATAAAATTCATTGAATTAAAATGCTAATAATTTACATCTTTGTTCATCAGTAAGAAATGCAAAATATATAGAGAAATTCGGCTTTTTTATCCTAACCTTTAATAAACACATATTAGCCGTAATTGAATGCAATGCGGCGGTATGATCCTTGGAACAAGATATTATACGAGCGTTACTATGACGTGTTACCGCAATATTGCTAACGGATAAGGAATGTGGTCGCCACTGACGGAATGGGATAGCATTTTCTAAAGTTGGATGTACTGACATCAATCTGAAACAGCAGTGTGAAATGCAAAACTTCCTGGCAGTCTATTTCATCCAATTAGATGATTTTATTCTTTACCTCTTTGTTTTTGCGATTATTCGTTCAGTAAAACATGGAAAACACTATTTCTAATCATAAAGCAACTAAGAGGGATGAAAAGAATAATGATCTGAAAGAAACAATAAAAGTATCCTACTGCATTATTTTCTTTAAAAATATATACAGTTAAGACGATATTTTAAAAAGTCTATAAAAAAAAAATATGAAAAAATGTCAGTTTGCTTTCTCCAAGTCGTATAGAAAAACTTTTTTTATCAGTAAAACTTACTCAGCAACAATAAACACACATACAGTGCCATCCTCCGCTCCAGACACCAAAAGTGAACCATCACAATTAAGCAGCAAACTAGATATAGATCGGTAATGACCATTAATTACAGCAATGAGTTCGCCTGTAGCAATCTGCAATTTACAGTAAAACAAAGAGCAGCAGCAGTTGAATTAAATTATTAAAAATATTTACATTCGACTTACAATCCAAACGTATATTTGATTGCTGACTGTGGCGAATAGTATGCTACCATCTGGCGTTACAGCTAAGTGACGCACCGATTTCGGAAGCACACTCTTGATGTGGAAACGTTTACTGTTATCCATAGAAAGGAGATGCAGTAACGGTTTGTCTTTGATTACTACAATAAGGCGATTGCTGTCAAGCATTTCAACAGATCCTGAAAACTGCGTGCATGTATGTACTGAACTTTATTATTTTCCCACACTTCTCTTTCAACAGAAAATTTTACCTGTTACATCTCCTTGCAGTTCATTCCCCTTATAAGACCAACAAGAAACCCCCGTCTTTGGGTTGATGACCACTGTTGCATATGGATCGCTTGTTTCGCTTGCTATCAGTAAACACTAAAAATATTAATTCCTTAATAAAATCATCTATTTTCTTCAGAAAATGACATTGTATATTACCAAATATTCTGTTAGATTAGCTTAGCTTTTTCAGTTTCCTAGTGTTTAAAGCTAAATATATTTTCCAAGAATAGCATAAAAAGTAAAGCATCTGAGAACAAACGTCTCTATTTTTGTAAACAATTCCGATAACAGCAAATGCAGTGAGCTCAAACAAATCTTTGGCTTAAAACCAATTTTGTATAAAAAAAAACTGAAACTAAAAGTACCTCAGGTTCGTCTTCCATTGTACATAGAATGTTAGGCTTACTGTCTCACGTCTCCAGTAACCTCCTATTCCACATGCCTCCCGATACGAGTTTCCGCACGCTAACCTCCCTTTAACTTCGAGCTTTTCTGATCAAACAATAAACCTATCAGTTATCTCACTATACTACTTCTTATGTCACTATGTCTGGTCCAGCGATGAAAATTTCGTTCCTCAATGGGGGTAAACGTGGGTGAGGTAGTTTTGCACATTAACGTGTATTTAAAAGGATGGAAACATTGTGATTAGAAATGTTATGATTAGATTAGAATGAAAGATAATGTAGAAATCTGATTTAAATGATATGGGGATATTGTTTTGCGCAGTTAAAATCCTGTTGGAGAAGTTTCGAAAGATATGTTGTTGCAAATGCTGTTTTAAAAATTTGTTTTCTTATTAAAAATTTTAAAAAGTACTGAACAGAAGGGAATTGTGTTTTCTGTTCAATACTTTTTTCATAGGTTCGTTGTTTGCTGTGTACTGCTGACGTATACCGCTATCACTATGCTATTTACACTTGTTTGTAAAGAAAGGAAGTATCATATAGATTATTAGAAAATGAAATAAGTAATTAGCTGACCATAATTTATTGAAGCTATGTCGCTTCTTAAAAACAGCAGGGATGTAATTTCAGGAACAATGGCTATGATGAGAACAAAAACGTTGGCGACACGCACGAATCACGCGTTGCGCTTGTCAAAAACCGGTAATTTTCATTGAATTAGTTGCAGTTGTTTTACGAATTTTTTCAAAATAATGAACTGCTTTTTAAGTTTATATTTCATTTTAAATAAAAAAGTTCTTTACAGTACCTGTTAATATTTCATGCTGTGTAACAGCATGTTCAAAACATTTTATGTCTGCGCTGTTAGAAAGTGCGAGAGTAATAAGTGAAGAATCTACGGAATTTAAAAAGAAAGTATTTCTGTAGCATATAAAAATTTCGTAGGAGCTGCGGTGAAAATGATGTTGTCACGTATTAATTTGGCTACTCGTGGAATCAATTGTGAGACAGAGTATGGAAAGCGAATGAATGATTTGTCGCGACGTATCTTCAGTGAACCACAACGAACAACTGAATCGAAAAATCTGAAAGTTGTAAGAGTTATGTCGGAAGAGCCGTTGGAACAACAACCATTCAAATCAGTTAGTTTTTTTGCTTGATGAATGTTCATATTCCACGTCATAATATCTTTGTTTATTAGTAAAGATTGGTATTGATTCTTACCCAGTAATTTTATATACTTTAATGTTTTAATCACTTGTGTAATGTCTTAGTTCTATTTGATAATGCTTACTTTTCAAGAATAATTATGGGCCGACGTACCATATATATATATATA